GGATGGCATTTAAGGAAGAAACTGCTGCAATCACAACAGTATCGTCTATCAGCGAAACTGTGTCAGAGGTACGGAGTCCATACATCAGCGAAGGGTTATGAGTGATGACAGGTAACAGAGACTGCACTGAAGCTATATCATCTGTGAGCTCCATCTTTTCCGGTTGGCCAGTCGGGTGTCGAGATAAACAGTCAGTTGCCCTATGTTTGACACCAGGGATATGGACCATCCGAAACTTATAGCGCAGTGTCTTTTCTTTCAGGTTTCGTAGACGTGGGTTGGAGATGTCCTCGATAGATCTATCACCAAGTACCTTGAGTAACGGCTTGTGGTCAACAGCAACGATCAATTGATTGCAGCCTAAGACAAAATACCTTGTCTTATCTAAGGCGTCTGCCACAGCTAGGGCCTCACCTTCGATTGGGGCATATCTTGACTCTGCGCTATGAGTAAAACGGCTTCCGACAAGGGTAATCTTCCAACCATCATTGCAGCAGAATGGTTTAGAAATGGGACAGGAACAGTGTTTCTGTAGCAGAAAGAAGCCAATTCCATCTTTCGACCAGTCTGTTGCCAAACACGTTGGTTTGTTAGGGTCGAATATTCGAACACCCTGTTCGATTTCACCAGCAATTACGCGTTTAGATTCTTCGAACAAGCCTTGTAGTTCTTCTGTCCAGCGAAATGGTACATTTGACTTTAACAGTTGTCGGAATGGCATCATCTTGTCGGCCATGCTGAATGCGAACGCAACTTGGTTGACAAGCCCAAACCACGAACGTATGTCCGTTATATTCTTCGGCGTTGGGAAGTCGAGGATTGCTCTAAGGAACTTCTTGCATGGACGGACGTTGTCTTTTGTTAACTCAAAACCTGCGAATTCAACTGTGTCCTCAGCAAAGACAAACTTCTTGGGGTTTAGGGTAATGCCGTTCTTGCCACATAAGTCTAACCAACGAACTGCCTGAAAGAAACTTTCCTCTATGGAATCGGACCATAACAACACATCATCTACGCATTTAGTCTTGTTGGCGAAGTCTGAGACAAGTTCATCGTACCTTCGTGTGTATCCGTCACCGGATGCAATGTACCCCTGGGGTGCTGTCTTATATCTGTATCGTCCCCATGGGGTGATAAAGGTTGTCAGGTGACGGTCTTCCTCACGTATGGGTACGCTGTGGTAACCGTTCCAAGCATCAAACACTGTTTTCTTTTTGCCATGTGGGACGGAACGGGCTTGGTAGAATGGTGATTGAGTATGATGAGTTTCACGTGTCGCGTGAGCATTGAGGGCTTGGAAGTCAACTGTCCTGCGAGGCTCGCCGTTTTTCTTCGCGCATATGACCATCCTGTGACACCATGTCACAGGTTGACCGATTGGGACTGGCTCAATAACGCCTAAACGGACATCTTGGTCTAATCCAGCCTTGACAGACTCGCGCCAGTGAATAGGGACAGGTATAGGTGTATGGTGGGCAATGGGTTCCGCAGTGTTGTCTACCATGAGTTTCATCGGGTGTGTGTCCATCAACGGCAGTGGCTGATGCTGGCATGTGTTGAAGGTACTAGCACTGTAGTGGTCTAAGAGGAAGGTTTTTAAACGCTGTAAATTCTCGGCCGTCCCAGGGAATGGCATTCTTTTGGGAGGGGGAGGGGGCATTTGACGTTTTGGACAGTCACATGGATGCGATTCCACTGGTGAGGGGTGGGGGTTCACGGTGATAGAATTAGCTGCGTATGCACCAACCGCGGGGAAGGCATCGGGAATAATACCTAGTGCTGAGCAGGCTTCTCTGCTGAGGAACAACCTGTCAGTGGTATCACATATGTAAGTCAACTGTCTAGTCTCAATTGGCTTGCCTGTATCGTTAGTGACGCTCAAGCGGAGTATTGTAGCACCGATGATCTTGATTCCAAAATTTGTGGCTGTATGCATGTGCATGGTCACCGGGATGAGGTCTGATTCACGTAGGCCTAACTTATAGATGACTCACAGACCAGCTAGGCAGCTCTGACATCCTGTATCTGCCATGTCAGGTACAGTAGCTAAAATAGAGCATTTGTTTTTCAAATCAAAACCAAGGGCAGAGTAATCATCATGAGAAACTTTTGCAACAACATTAACAAATGGTTGAGAGGCTGATCGTTTCTTAACCTATGTGTCTGTGAGTTTATCATAAACATGGTGGTCAATGCGTAATGCACGCTCAACACCAGAATCACTTAACGTGCAAGAATCATCAAAGGCATTAACAATAGTATCATTGACAGTACATAGAGCATCAAACACAGCTGAACTCTTTGAGAGTTTGTTACTGTTTCTGGTGAGTTTAGGTTTATTTTTACTACGACAAACACTTTCAAGATGATGATTGCGATTACACAAGTTGCATATGTGTCCGTATGCTGGGCACTCATTTCGTCGAACACTAGATGGGGCGCCTTTTCCATGACCTCTGGTACCACAATATGTGCAAGTTTCTGTTTTGTCCTTGGGTGTGGTTTGATTTTCATTTTTGGCCTTTCGATACGAGCTGCTTGCAGCTGCCACTGCATTGGAGTCCAACAGTCTCGAAGCTGAGCGCTTTCCCGCCTCCTTCGCTTCCACGAACTTAAACACATCCTCCAGATTCATATCCTGGTTACTGTCACCCAGGAGGTCAAGTTGAATTTCTGGATCAGCGAGTCCTTTTGTAAGTACATCGCGAAGAATGGCGTCAGTATAATTGACGTCTGTATTACAGTTGGCACATTTTACATTAAACTTGCAAACACCTGCTTGGCCTCGTATACGCGCACCAAAACTTCTCACGGTCTCATCACGATCCTGTTTCATGTTATGTAGGTTTACCCTGGCCACCATTGTATTCTCTTCGCGAACGGCCAGTGGTTTGATGGCTGTGAGCACCTGATCTGCAGTTAGTTCCGTTAGTGTGACCGTTTGTACGGGTTAAGTCCTTCCTGAGACGTTCATCACAACATTCTAATAACTGAATCACTTTGGTGCGACCTTCCAGTTTAGTAGCGGCGACATAATCTTTCCAACGCGAGAAATAAGAAATAAGCCCAGTCCTCACCGGTACCAGCTAATGCGATGGTGGGCCGTCTGACTCTCTCAATTTTGGCGGATGGGCCTGGGGCGTGAACCATGGAATGAGCCGTTATCAGTGCAGCTACAATCGCTGCCTCAAGGTCTCCTGTCACGTATTCGCATCCTGGTATTGGGCAGTTTGCGACTGGCATTGTGATACTGTGTTCATATAAGAACGTGGTCTTTTTGTACGTCTTTATTAAGATCAACAATGAACACAGTCTGAAAATACATAAATGAGAAATACTCAGATATTTACCAAACGATGTGTTGTTCCGATGATAAACATAATTAACATTGGAAACGAGACAAAAGAATAATTGACACAGTACATTAATGAACAATAAGTAAATGTAGTCAATGTAGTAACATAATAACTGAGTATCAATGATTACTTACAAATAATATGCCTTAAACAGGCTAATGTAAGTGTTTCCTCAAATGACTCCATTTGCATTACAAATGGCGAGTTTCCATCCAAGGGGAGTAACTCTGAAATGCCTCGACTATAAAGGGAAGTAACTATGTAATTATCATTGTCAATAAACAATAATCATGTAGTACAGATCAATACAACTTTGTAAAACAGTAAGTTTGTAGTACAGACCAATACATCTTTGTAAATCAGTAAGTTTGTAGCACAGATCAATACAACTTTGTAAAACAGTAATTTTGTAGCACATATCAATTCAACTTTGTAAATCAGTAAGATTGTAGTACAGATCAATACAAATTTGTAAATCAGTAAGTTTGTAGTACAGTTCAATACATCTTTGTAAATCAGTAAGTTTGTAGTACAGATCAATACAACTTTGTAAATCAATAAGTTTGTAGTACATTTCAATACAACTTTGTAAAACAGTAAGTTTGTAGCACAGATTAATACAACTTTCTAGATCAGTGAGTTGTACAGATCAATACAACTTTGTAAATCAGTAAGTTGTACAGATCAATACAACTTTGTAAATCAGTAAGTTTGTAGCACAGATTAATAGACACAGGTAAGCATTTACCTAATAGATAAAGATCTTTACATAAGGTGATGTGTAGGCAAGCTGATACCTTACACTATAACAGCTCAATATCCGTAGTGATTGTTTATTGGTTATTTCCGTCTTTTAAACAAAAATTAAATTGCACTTCGATTTTCTATTTCGTTGCTTTAAATCTCTATCGCTATTACCGGCACAATCTAAATTTCTTTTAAATAAAGAAGCGTCCCACCTTCAAGCAGCTTGATTCATGATTTGTAACTGTAAACCTCTATTTGCAGTATAATTATTATTTTAGCATTCTGTTTAGTTATTGTAAGTCACACTCTCGATAGATAAACATTCCGTATTACAGTACTGGAATATAATATGGCTTTTCTACCACTAAAAGCCAATCTTGTCTCATTATAATGTAACAGAGCTTGTCATATTTAAAAAAATCATTAACGTGCTTGTCATATTTTTACTCCCAAGACCATTCATTCTGATTTAAATCTTTTAAAATTGAATCTATTCAAGTAAAACGTTTGGTCGGAAGGTAACGAAAACCTATACTAGGTTAGATTGTTTGTGTTACATGTAAGATTCAATGTACATTTACGTTGATAATGGAATGTGGGCCTTTCAAACTCTGATAACAAATTCGTCTCATGGTAAATGTTATATCAGTCATGAACAGTTTATAGTCCACTACAATTTCTCTCTGGGAAACGGATTTATAAAATTCGCAGAACAGATCAACGTGTATCAGAATACAAAGGACGCCCACAAAGACTATTGATTATCAAAATCTGAAGTACCATCGGAGTGGATAACGGGTTTACTTTACGTGACACAATACTGATAGGAACGTGTGATTTTATCAACATAGACAGTAATCAAAAACAGTTGTCTCCAAGGTGTACCTCTGTATAGATACCGACACAGGACCGGTGACATAGCGGATCAGGGGGAGTTACAAGATAAACCAACATGTGCACTAAATGTGTAATAGGTGAGCCTATTCTTTGTTTATCTTGCACACGTAAAGGATTTGTAATAACATCCCAGGTAAAAAAAAACTGATATCAATATTTTCTAAAGTTCATTAAGATGATTATATAAATAAATCCCTTTATGTTATAAGCTTACTAAATGTACACAAAATTCGTTACTCACTTTAAATATATCTATACATATACATGCATTATTGAATACTTGAATATAACTCACATCAATAACAGTGCATTTCCGCAGTATACATAATTTATTTGTATTACTATTGGTTTTACCCTGTTCTTCTTCTTCTTCTTCTTCTTCTTCTTCTTCTTCTCCTTCTTCTTCTTCTTATTCGTGTTCTCTTCTTCCGCCTTAAACTTTTGTCTGCGCGTTTTCTCAGAAACCATTTCTTGGATTCCATTGACACTTCACATGAGTATTTGGGCATATGCTTAGATGTGCAAGACACCTTTTTTTCTAAGCTCTGTATCCAAGATGGTCGCTGCGACCTCTGATTGGTCAAAATTAAATATTGGTCGATTTTGCTAAATTTTATATGTAGGTGTATTTGGCACTGCAAACATAACTGCGGGGGTTTGGGGAACTTCTGTAATGGTCCCCTATTACAATTAGTACTTGCTATTATTATTATTCTTGTTCTTCCGACGTAACATTTTGACAGCGCGTTTGCTCGGAAACTATTTGTTGGATTCCAATAAACTTCACATGATGCAGCTGCGCATCAAAGATGGCCACCGCGGCCTCTGATTGGTCGAAAATAGATATTGGTCGATTTTGCTCAATTTTGGTATGTAGGTGTATTTTTGCATCTTTGCGACAATGTGGACAGTTTGGGGGACTTTTGTAATGGTCCCCCATTACAATTAGTACTTTTTTGCATTTGACATTGTGTGACGACCCGGCATAGTTTGTTTTCTGTGTCATCACGAGTTAGCTGTATAATGTGCATATCTCAAGGAATATCAATTAAGTACAACCAAACATAATTGTTAGACTTACTTCAGGCCTTTATGTCCAGTTGGCATGGTCCAAAAACAATAAACCAGTTTCAGTTAATATGTTATATAACGCACATCTTGTTCAAAAGTTCTGTTCAATTCTTAATAGCATATAGGTACAAGTTAGGAGAACGCAAGTAGATGTTGTTTTTGTGTATGCTTATTGAGAAATTTTATATACAGTAAATAGGATGCAAGAATACTGTTGTTTGCATGTTTTGGGTTTTACGTCTAGGAACAGTTATGATCAGAATGAAGACGGATGCAGTGTCTATAGAGACACATCCGAAAAGAAAGAGAAGGGAACGGGAGAAAAGTAAAAAAAAACATGTACACAAGTGGTGCAAGTGGGGCCGCAGATCGATTTTGTTTTTTTCAATATCAATAAAGCAAAAGACACAGGAAAATTTCAGATTCCGCAGGGGTTCCACACATTAGTCTTATAGTAAGAAAGCATGCAGCGGGATACAGCAGCACTATTCTTTCCTGTATTTTACATTTATATATTTAGCAGTGAAATATAAGAGGTATTCTACCTGATGGTAAATATAAGTATAGATTCTATATCAAAGTGGGTACGGGACGACAGCAAAAGGCACTTACAGACACCTAAACATACGGACAGACATCAGAAACACCCACAAAGGACAATGGTTAGGAAAAGGGGTGCTCAAAAAGGGTTCTGATCCACATGTGATACCTGGGATAATGTCCACGGTGAATTCGTAAAAAATATAAATGACAAACGAACTAAGACATAGACACTAGAAATAACCTTGGTCGACGGCATGTCGATATGACGACCGTGGGAGTTTTGGTTTGAAGCCTTCAGGCCGATGATATGACTCTATCATATGTAAATATGTAGGACAGAAAAGACACGCGAGATAGTTTAGAATTTGGGGCAAAACAGAGACTTGATGGGGTGATCGAACTTACATATACCCAATAGTGCAACATATATAAATTCCTGTAGCTCTAGAAAACACATTGTTATTTCGCGGAAAAGAAATATTAAAAACAAATGATTTAATGTAATTTTTAGTACCCGGCAAGCATCTAATCTCCTTCCAATATAGCCCTAGTTTAAGTGATTGTTTGTGGTATTGACCGACGTATCATATCTACATTTAAACGTTTACCAGATATTGATTAGCTGTCTGGTCAGCGATTATTCTACACTCCATAGGAAATGAGTTAGGGATTTGAGAGTGGATTGGGACAGTTTTCTTGGTCTAGATACAAAAATATGAGCTGGTATTTTCATTAGCTACGTCTGGAGTATTTACATTTAAAATGCAGACAATCTAGTCTTATTTTCGCAATGGAGACAGTCAACAAGTGTACATCTTTAAATGGAGTATATTTTTACTTGTAACTTAATAAAGACAGCTCGTGAATCCATAAAAAATTATCGCTAAAATAAAGATACTGTTCAACAGATATTGACAACACTTGAAGCCGTTATCAGTATAATGTATCTTATCTCTGATATACCTACACTTGTAGATGGTTGTCTTTCTTAAGACTGCCGGTCTGAAGGGTCAGGGATGTAGGATATTGTTTAAGTAGAAAGCCACGTCAGAGGAGATTTCCACGTCATCTGAAGAGGTCAGAACTATAGAGGATGGGGTGTGGTTCAAGTAGCGATGCAAATGATGTTACCAAAAGCACGGACAGTGGCAAGAACAACGGCAAGGACAACCTGGTGGAACCTCAGACAGATCCGGTACGTAACAGTTAATTACCTTCATGTTGCACTGATACGGGTAAACGGAAACCTCAGTTTATCAACATCAGTTATGAAAAGGGTAATTTGACCAGGTATGACATTTTGTATTAAACTACAATTTCCCGTCATCAGGAGGGACAGGGTGAGCTGACAAGTCATGAGGGTGTAACTCTAAACTTGGTTTAACGACATTAAATTTGATTAGATATGACGGTGTTCAAATGAACAAAAGGGACAGTGTTATGTGGTCAGATATGGTACATAACGTTGTGCTGATGAACAAAATGGACAGTGTTGTGAGGTCGGATGTGATATACGACGTTGTGCTAATGAACAAAAAGGACAGTGATATGCATACAATCAAGGATGATATGTTTTATAGTTAACATTATCATAGGTTTCTATATTGCCATTAACATATCGAATGTAATGAATACACTAGTTCATTCATAGGAACTATAATTTGGTTTAAGTATGAATTAACTACCTCGCTAGCGTTTTAAATGTAATCGTATAGAGCCAAAATTGAACATATATATAATAGATGTGTATAAAGGTCATGGATATACTGTTTAAAGATCCGCCAAACAGGGGGATACACTGTTATACTGACACATTCAATTGGCTTTAACAAATTATTTTCTTTTAAAAATGTGAATCAGCATATTAAGTTATCGGGAAAGGGCGGTATTATACGACCTCCAACAGAGCGAAGAGCTTTGATTTACGTATTCAACGACTGCGCAGCTAAATAATGATGCAGTGTATTAATTGGGAAGTATATATAAGCCAGTTGCAAGTATAACATTTACGGTGTTCGTACTAATGTCCGACTAACTTTATAGAGCTACTTGTATAACACATGTCCTTTTTTTGAGAGTTAAAGTTGTTAGGTGCTAACTGATATAACATAAGATAGAGGCGAGTTAGCATTGTTCTAAAAATAAATTCGGCAACAGAAATAATAAATTGTTAATTGCTGTTAGTGTTTATAAAAGAAATTCTACAAATTAATTTATCCTATGACTGTAAAACTAGATCCGGGTAATTGAGATAAAATATATGATCAGAGGATCACGTATTCTTTAATGTTGCTACAGCAGAAAAAGTAGCTCTTTGGCTGTATTTTATTGTTTTGCCAAAACGTAATTTAAGCATATGAAAACGAAGAAGAATATACTGCAGGTGGATAGTGTTCCCCTGAGGATACTCTACACCTAATAGCATTACCTCCATGCATTGATAGAGAGGTTACTGATAACATACTGGTTGAGTCGGCGCCCAGCAAAGATAGGATTCCCTAAGTATATCTTACTGGTACAAGATCCACTATCGTTAGATCTACATTATCGATTACGAGTTCAAATAATGGTTTTGTTTACACTTTGGTATTATCTTGTTGTGTGTTCAATAAAACTTCACAAGTATTTTCAGTTCGGTATATAAAAGAATTGGTTTCCCGTCAGTTTTATTGTTTATATTGGCCGAATCCTCAATAGTAATAAATAGTTTCACGTGTTTCTGTAAGTGTCCAAGCTTTATAAATATAGATGACATTTAAAGGGAGCAACGAGGACGTGTTCAAGTATACTTAAGGTTGTTGGGTACGAACAATAGCGAATCTAATACATCTACCGGGTGTGTGTTTTACCAGATACAAAAATGTAATCTTTACGATTTTATTGAATTATAATTCATTGCATGCAAGGTATTGATCGCTAACAAAGCTGATAATACACAGCGAATAAATCACCAATATAAAAGGGTATTAACAGTCATACGTATGTTAGCACTTCACGTAAAAATGTTCCCTGTTTGTTCCTGATATCCAAAGTGCTAGGATAAATTACTTGAAAAGCGGCGTGGGAGTATGTTATTTTCACGCTCGCTCGTATCACAACTGGATAGTCTGCACGTCTTTAAACGTCTTTAACCTAACTTAAGTAGCAAAGTGTAAGAGATATGATACGATAGGTTGCATTGGTTTCTTTGATGTTGTGAAGGGAACCGTTTGCAATATTTTTGTACTAGTAATTTTATGTTTTACGAGGGAGCCTTTATAACTGCAGAAACTCGCACAAACATCATTTACTATAAACACTCTTATTTTTGTCTATAATGCAGTTTGTTTATATTTATCATTACATGTTATTCTCAGGCTGATTTTCCTTACATTCCTGATGGGTATCCTCCACCAAATCCATCCCGTACAAAGAAGGCCAAGCTTTTTGACGAATCCAAGTACACCCACATTGAGGAACGAGCAGTGAATGTGAGTGATCTATTATATTCAAGTCCGTCTTAGATTAAAAAACACTATATACTCTCGTGTTTTGCGTTGTCTCCCTTTAAACATCTACTAGCTCCTTTTCTAATTGCATGCTCTCCTTCTCTTGAACCATACGGATGACATCTTTCTCTTGATCAAGCATATATGCTATGTTTAATGAGTTTTCTTGTACCTCGCTTAATTTATGTGACACTGAAAACGGTATTTATAAGCTTTAGCATAATAACAATTTCCGTAATACAGGCATAGCTTATGACAGTTCAGTCGACTGACACTGAAAATGGCATTTGAGTGTCGTTCTAGTTATTATTGTAAATAATCATTGTTCTAGTACCGAGTACAATCGGGTAATGGAAAAAGGAAACTGGTTGATTTGTTTTTTATTAATTAATTTTTTATTTTTTGTAATTGAAAAATAATCATTTAATTTAAATGAATTCACTATCTCTTTGATCAGCATATTTGGATGAAAATATAATAAAGACAAAAAAACAAAAATTCTAAGAAAATACTACATTCGTTATATCAGAAACACAGATCTACACAACGTATCCATTCCTAGGAAAAACACAATTTAGGAAAGTTAACCATATGTCAGCTGTTTGAAAATGGGCTAACAATGTTATCTTTAATTTCAGGCACCTGACACAGCTGGCAACAGTTTCACGGAATTATTTGAGTATCTATTCAATGGGTTGAATATAGAACTTGAGAAAGTCAGGGCTATATTCTGTTGGATCGGACACAAAAACCAGACACCATGCAAAGGGGGACCAGACGATTCTCCAAATGCGATTCTGCAGCAAGTCCAGAATAAAAACATGTCGTTTGCCTATATTTTCGCCAGATTATGCAGGTATATCGCTGAACTCGTACACCTACATCTCAAGGAAAAGGATATTTTAATAGCGTATGAAAACTTCGTTAATTGATTTGCATACGGTTTTGCAACGACCGGTTGTTAGTTATCATGTTGATATATTTTCATTCGTGACTTGAAATGCTATTTTGTTTCAAGATATACATTTTTCATCCATCCGTATTCTAATTTTTCCTGTGGAATCATGCAGCATTTTATTACCACCACTTGTAAACCGTTTTACCTGTTCAAAATTGGTCTGTTAATATCAAAGGCATGCTTTCTGTTTCACCACTAGGGTATAACAGATAGGATGTTAAAAGTAGTAATACGATTACGTCTTGGGACCAATAAATTTGATGTCACAATAACCTTTTGACGGGGAAGATTAGGGTTTTAAATGCAAATAAACGTTGTTTTCAAACATTTTACAAATAGAATTGAAAAAAGAAGAAATCAGCCCCTGGGGCTATTATGTACCAGAGAAATCTCAATCTTATTATTGATTTTTTGAATGTCTAACCCGGTCTAACCAGAAGCTTGGACCAATCCTCTGGTTAAACAATATCAGTAAAATATCAACTGTCGGGTTGAGATTTCTATGTCTTACCTTCTCGATAGGGGAAGATTCTGTTGTTCATACTAAATAGAAATTACACTTGTTGTTCTCCGGTTATATATTCTTTTGATATCGTGATATATTTTCATGCCAAGGATACATTTTTTTTCGATAACAATTTCGTCAATAACATATTTTCGAATCGCAATGAAATGCATGATCATTTTTCTATTTCTTATTACAAGCATTACCAATTAATTCGTCAATACATATTTCTATAATGATTAATGTTGGTTTTCAAACAGAGAAGCAGATATTCCCTGCGTGATTATCAGGGGTGTAGCTAAGAGTGCTGGGTACGAGGTAGGGGATGACGAGTCCAAAGTAAGAGAACTAAATAATCGTTGGGCTGGAGTGTCTGTGGCGGGTGAGTGGAGAATTGTTTTCCCACTTTGGGCTTTCTCCGCTATTGCTGGACATAGTACTGGAAAATATACTCTCGTCGAATCAAAAGGTAAGGAAAAAGATGATTTGACAGATCGTATCTAAAAGCAAGCTTTCATTTTGTAGAAACTGTCATGTTGACAAATCATGTATGTGTAAAAATAAAAACAAAAAAACTTCATTTTTACACATTTCATTAAATTCAAATTGGTAATGAGGGCTATTTCACATATCATATATCGAAAGTGTATATAATGTTGCTATTACACTACAAAGTCAGCGTTAATATATGATTAATTAGATTCCCTACCGAGTGGTGCTGGCTTATTATGATGATCTAATTCGTGTTAGTGAGTTTTCAACGTTTCAACAGGGCCAACGATCGGGTAAACAAAGGGGTGCCCACAATGTTTTGGTGTGCTATGTAAGTGATTTACTGGTTTTGATTAACCGATCACAATTGTTCTCTTTGTAGGAAAAGCAGCTCGAGAGAAGGAAAAGAGGTCGACAGGAGAGAATATTGTTCAGCTAAATGAATATTATTTCCTGACTGACCCTGAAGATTTTGTGAATGTCGCTATGGCTACCGATCCAAGATGGCAGTTCATTGGAAAGCAATTCAATCTGGAACAATTCTGTAATATTCCGTTTCTCCGCCAGAGCTACTTTAATCGTAATGTGGAAATAACTTCGGGATTTAAATCATGTTTGCATTCTGAATACGGCGTGGTGAAGGTTGGATTCAAAGCAAGAAATGAGAAATGGGAAGGTTTCTTGACATACAAATTATACTTTAATGACGAAGAATCCGAATCAGTCTTGCCAACAGATTTGCAGCTGGACAGGTATGTTGTAATGGAGCGGAATTTTGAAAAATGGACATTTAATGTTAGATGCCCTGTCACCGGAGTGTACAAATTGAGTATTAATTCCAAATCAAGCACATCAAATGATATATCGCTTTGCGACTTCAAAATGTTCTGCGATGAAGTGACGGAGGGTGGTACCAAAGCTCTTCCTTTGGATGTCGGTACAATTGGCTGGGGTCCCAGTAATGAAATGGTGAAGGCGGGGCTAACAACACCATCACAAAGTAAAGGAATCGTCAAGGCCACGGCCAAAAAGAAAGTAAACTTCAGTTTTACTTGTACGAAAACAGTTTCCATAAGGACAGTCCTTGTTCACAACGAAACATCCTCAGAGGAACTTCAGTCATATGTGTCTCATAAACATGACAAAAGTTCCAACAAGTTGAATGTATCAGTGTGTGTGCCCGATGAAGGGGAGTATGCACTGCAGATACTCACCAAAGACAAAAACACGAACAAAGAACTGAACGCATGTAACTACATTATCTCTACTGAACCGACACCACAACAAAAGAAGAAGAAAAAAAAGAAGCGGGAGGTAGGTGACAGAAATGTACATGCTGGTTCGTGAATGCTTAAAGTTTAGCAAGACGATTATTAGTAAGTAACATATTTCAGCAGGATTAAAACTGGACCATATGTGAAATTTATTAGAGTCATAGTAAACTTCATTTTATATACAGAAAAGACTCTTGAATGCAGTTTTCATCAGATTAGTGTTTAACTGGATGACTTGGCTAACGTACGTATGGATTGTGTCTTTTGAAATTAAAAATATGTTGAATACACAAGAAACAACAAGAGAATACCGAAGTTTCAATAAAATCATAATTCGAACTCGACATCGATAAAACTAGGGTAAATATTATGAAATGAACGGTAGATCTACACGGATACCATTGCAAACAACAAAGATAATTAGACCAGGTATCCCGGAAGAGTAAGCGTACTTTGCTAGGTCAAAGCCAAAAAATGTTGCGTTCTTACATCGAAAATTCGACATCGACAACAACACCACAAGGCACACTAATGAGCATAATTAAATAACATCAACCCCTTTATCACACAAAGAAATAGTTATTTCCCAATGAGTCCACGTCACGGTGCCTACCGCTTCCATAGTCTTGAATACCGAACCAAAAACCGTAGGTAGGGGAAGCAAAGCAGACTAAATGATTTGTATGGCTGGAAAAACGTAGGGTTCTACAGGGTTTGGTTTTGTCAAGATTGTTTTTTTAATTAAATGAATTTCATATTATTTATAAACCAAACATATCGTTTATATGAAGTCGATCGATGAGGATAATATTGAAATAAAGGGCAATTGATCAACGGAACAGTTAGTAACGTACGACAATCCGGTTTACTTCTTCATACATTCCTTAGAGTTATAATGCCTGCTATATTTTACAGAACGTGACTGAAAGGAAGGCAAGAGATGATTTGAAGAAGGCATCGACTGGAAACGATTTGGAAATGTTATCAATATTTATAGTTAAGTTCCAGAGGATGGGTTTGGATGATAAGGGTGATTTAGAAATTGCTCTTAAAAGACAAAACTTTCTTGTGTTAGAGAAAGGTACGTATTTCCTCTTTTAAACATAATGCTAACGTGTTGAAAATGCACGCTTTCGTACGTCTGTATTTATACACTTGTTTCGCCTTGCTTTCGAAGATTCTATAGTATGCTGCAGGTTATGTAGTATATATAATATCTGATATTGTTATTTCAAAGGTCTGAACGAAGCAATTATGAGGCGTTATATTGACGTTCTCGATACTGCAATTGGAAACGCAGAGAAGTCAAAGTTCAAGTCTCAGCTTGCACCAAAGATCAAAGAGGCGGATCAGGTGAGGAAGGATCTGAACAAACTGAACAGATTTGCACACGACATACTGGCAATGCAGCAACCCACGGTGTCTGAGCTCCACCGCTACAAGATACCAAAACCCCCGATAGTGGACGTGATGGTGGCTACCTTCACACTACTTGGAGAATCAAAAGATAACCTAAAGGTAATTCCCTGGTAATAGCAATAATTCAAACTCTAAACGTCTTATAGCACAAAGGTATATCAAATATATCTGCAACTTAAAAATCCCAATTTCGTTTATATTTGTGTATTCCCATGTGTTTTGATGGATCCTCAGTCATTGCTGAACTTTTGTAAAGACATCGAGTTCTGAATTTGTTCTTGTGTATTGACGGTATGATACATATTTGCCTTTGTTTTGTAATTATACGTCAACAAATGGCTTTTTTAAAAGGATCGTGAAACAAATTTTAAAATTCCTGAAAGCAATTCTACATAACTGCCTTTCTTAAATTCTAAACTTTCCTAATGTATTCTATACATATTGTATACTGTTCTAGGTTTGGAAGGGCATACAGACCTTGTTGAGGAAACTCGGTCTTAAATCCGTAATAAGTCGTGTCCGGCAGTTTCCTGAAAAACAAGCTCAGTATGTTGATGAGAGTACCGCGATGGAAGTCCAGGACATGATCCGGGTATATGACGAGGACACAGTCCGGCTTTGTAGTCCTGCTGCTGGAACCTTTTACGTCTGGGTAAGTACATGCTTTGGCCTTTCAATTGCTTACTTACAGCACGCCAATATATACTTGTGAATGAATATAAATGACCATAAATATATAAAAACATGCGGTTTTTATATCAATCATTAATGCACGAGAAAGTAACATAAAACTAGACTTTAAGCACTGTATACGAACTCAAAGGACTAATAATAAATACAGCATGAGGGTGTTAACTATAAAACATGTTGTGTCCAGGACGGGTTGATGAATTGGTTGGACTTGAAAAAAACCCAATAAATGTTGATTTTTTATTTATTTTTTATCAATAATTGCAACTTATGAAAGTCCATTCTGATAGTTTGTCACATATTTTGGAGCTTGTGCGAGCCTACGTATTGACGTAATGTACAGAAATATAGTCCGTCATTGAAGAGCCATCATTCAATATGATGATGTACGCTGATGTTTCAGTACAGCCAAATTATGAAGAAACAAAACAAACAAAAAACACACATTTTAAATGCCATATCCAAGTTTTGTTGATGAATTCATACGTTGAAATATAAAAACTTCTCTGACGCGTCATCGCGGAAGAATCATCTCCAGACGCGGTTCGCAGGCTCAGCTGCAAGTCTATGACAGTCATCTTTATACTAGCTCAAAGGGGAGAGTCGCTAATTCCGAGGTTTTACATTCGGAATGTGAAGCTGCAGTTATTGAATGTCGAATTAAACAATAAACCAGACGTTAAATAAAATGACAAAACGATTTGATATGGCAGTTGACTGTTCGACTACATGGCATATATGACTTGACGACATGTGTGAGCAACGTTGTTTTCTATTTGTACCGGGGGATGACACTGACATAAGAGGCAGAATGGGTGTTGGAGGGAGAATTTCTAGGGCAATACTTCGATTGTCACTATCGCTAGCAAACGCTGATATTGTTTTGCTGATTGATCGTTTTGGTCGCTTGACCAATTTCTTGTGTAGCTTCATCAAAAATGTAAAATCTCATATAAGTGGTATCTTCTTTGTTTGCAAGTTCTGCTAAAAGTGTCAATAGTTACTGAATATGAACGGGTAAAATTTGGTAGTTGCATTTATTCAAAGTTGAATAGAAATTGAATTTTTTATAATTTAAAGACATTATGATATTTTCTACACTGTATATACATATATTTACAATATACATGGTTACACGTGTATAAGAAAAACTAAGGTTTTATTATTGACCGAACGTGTTAATATGACATCTAAAAGCTACATGTAATTATGTTCCATGTCAAACACGTATTCTAAATAGATAACCAGGACAATAAAATTAGACGTGCAAAAACAATTCATGACCTTTCAAATAATAAACAATACGATAATGAACTTCTATTGCTTTATTTTCTTTTGTAGGTTAACAACATTGTGACAGATATCATCGCGAACGGTAATACAAGTTATAAGGGTACATAGACAATGAACCGTAGCCATTACAGGAAAATAGATCGGCGTCGATAGTTCTTCCTTGGTACAACACTCCCAGCACATGTACAACATTCTACAAAAACTGAAAACTCACACACTTCGAGTATAATTTTTTTTTTATTTAAAACTACTGAAAATGTCATGGAATTGATTTTTCTAGTTCGCTATCCCTGAAGATGAGACTTGGTTGGTTTTGCATCTTACGTCCTATTAACAGCTATGGTAATTTAAGGACATGTCAGGAGGTGGTTTTGGAGGAGAACCTGCGGTCAGTACATGACGACTGTCCAACATAGGCCTCCAACCTGCGACCATAGGCGGAAAGCTAGTGAAAATTTCATTTTAAATACATTTTTATTGATTAAATAATCAATCGGATTGGGCAACAAGCATTGCCTATATAAGCCTTCTCCCCATCATATATGTCCACTCGTAGACAGACCTTGGATTTCATTTGATCATACTGATTTTGTTTATCCGAATGACGCGGAAGAATATTTAAATGAGGTATTGGTTGAGGAATTCCCTACAATGTTATTTGAAAGATCGCAATAATACGACATTTAAAACCGTAATGTATTCCAAATATTACTCTTAAAGTAAAAACCTAAAAACATGACGTAGCCATACTAATGAGTGTTACATTAGGTCTGTCTCAGATCTTATGTAAATTGACAGTGGTGACGTTGTATTTTAGAATTTATTGTATTTATCTATTTTGTTTTCAAAACGACATAGTTATTTTACAAGATAAATTAATGACAAAACGGATCCCAATACAAGCAAATGTTATGTATAACATTTACTTGTATTCATACAATGGGTGATACACTACGTAATGCCAAACAGCATGTAAATCATATTAGTTTATATTATACTTTATTTGTATACGTCTTTATCTTACGTTGTACTTTATTTGTGTTTATATTAATGCACATTATGTATATCAATTCATAGTTTATAAATGAAATTAAACTATGTTTATATTTATAGCAAGCATACATATATCTATTGGAGTTTTTTAATTCTATTTGATGTCAGTTACATTCGAATGTATTTCGTGTGTTATTTACATTGATGAATATTTATTTTATGTTTTAGCTTCATGTACCAAGATAAATAAAACTACCTACGCGTACCCTTCAACATTATCATATTTGTTAAACTCATCTTCAAGTTTCCTGTGATACAGCTTCGTCAGTGTCGTTAGATGCATTTCGTTTTCTTGTTATTAACTCCCCAGCTTCTCCCGCCTGCGGTGTAAACATGTTGTATATGAGTGATATGTATAGTCTTGCTCGTAATATCAAGTTTCCCATGATAAATGTCGAATTCTGAAAGACAAACTTACAATACAGGGTTTTGAGACATGCACAATAACGAAGACTAAGGACATTTTTATAGTGATTTATATTTTTCTTTGTGCGATATGAATATCAACTTTTTATTAATCTCATTTGTATGCCTTGTTGTTTCATTGTTAACATCACATCTCTCGTTCTGAGGACGTAATATTACCTGGATGTAACATATATTTACTTTGCATATGCCGAAAAAAAAGCAGAAACCGTTTACCCTTCCGGACCTTCTCGTGTTGTTCTACTCGTGCTTTACAGGAGCCACCGTAAAATATTCTATTTTTGTTTGATTTTTATCCCTGAGTCATCATGTTTTAGTTAGAAAACGATTTGTGCATGCTTTGATATTTCTGTGTTATCTTTTCTGTTCTTTAAAAAAAACAAAAAAAAAACATAAATGCAAACAGACAGAATAAGCATAATTGGCGTTGTGTTATTCATTTCTCACCCTTTATTTTACTTATAGTCTGGACGTATAAAGACGGTGGTGATGCAGTTTTCTTATGTACTGATGTCACTGTTTTTAAAAAAGCTTACATTTGCAGGGACCACAAGATAACTATGATATCATCTACTTAAACATCAGAAAGTCAGTGTTGGGTAAATTTCATATATCAAATCAAGACATAATGACTTATTTTCTGATTCAAAAATACTCTAATGTTACACTTGTATACCTGACAAAAATCATAAAATGTTTACATATAAAGTATAAAATAAGCCATTTAAAGACTAGGCCAATACATCTTTGTAGATCGGTAACTTCGTAACACAGATCAATACATCTTTGTAACTCGGTAACTTTGTAACACAGATCAATACATCTTTGTAAATCGGTAACCTTGTAACACAGATCAATACATCTTTGTAAATCAGTAACTTTATAACACAGCTCAATACATCTTTGTAAATCGGTAACTTGGTAACACAGATCAATACATCTTTGTAAATCGGTAACTTTGTAACACAGATCGATACATCTTTGTAAATCGGTAACTTTGTAACACAGATCAATACATCTTTGTAAATCGGTAACTTTGTAACACAGATCAATAGTTAGAGGTAATCATCTACCTACTACCTCTTTTATTTAACATACGGTGATAAGCTAGATAATACTTTACACTTTAACAGCTCAATATCTCAACATCTTGATCACTCTTGCCAAAAAGGAGAAAGTTTATTCCTTCTTTAAAGGCAAATAATTCCATATTGATTTTTTTCTTTGCTGATTTAAATCTCTATGGCTATAACCGGCACAATTTCTTTTAAATAAAGAAAGCATTCCCCTCCAAGCTACATGTAACGATTAACGTCTATTTGCAATGTAGTTGTCACTTATGCATTTGTTTATTTGCTATAATTATTATTTTATATATAAACACATCTACAATAACACTACTGGAATGTAAGTTGGCCTATCGTCAACTAAAAGCCAATTTTGCCGTATTAACACTACTTTAATAATTATGTTTTTTTTCATCGAACTCGCGTGTCATAATATTTTTCCGAAAAGTAGAGCTAATTTCGCCATTCATATTGGTAATGGAATGCTTGCCTTTCAAACTCTGATAAAAAACCAACACTTCTCATGCTTAATGTTAATTCAGTCGTGAACAGCTTATAGTCCTATATAATTTCTTTCTGAGAAACGGATTTGCAGAACAGATCAACGTGTATTAGAGTACAAAGGACGCCAACAAAGCGTATTGGCTATTAAAATCTAAAGTGTCATTGAGTTAAGGTAAAACGAAGGTGTCAATTTATCAACATAGACAAAATAAAAATAAAAATAGTTGTGTCCAAGGTGTACCTCTGTATAGATACCGACACAAGCCCGGTGGCATGGCGGATCATATGGAGTTACCAGACAAACCAACAAGCGCACTGAGTGAGTAATAGGTGAGCATATTCTTTGTTTTTCATGCACACGTAAAGGATTTGTTATAACATCCCTGGTAAAACTTTCGATATCAGTATTTTCTTATCTTTCATTAGGATGATTTTATTAATTAATCACATAATATGTATAAGATTACTTTTTTAGATGAAAAGATGAACACCGTAATCGTCACTCGCTTTACAATTAAATATATATATACATTTACACGCATAATTGAAAATTTGATTTTTTTTATTCACATCAATAACAGTGCATTTTAAGTAAGGAGTACTGAAGTAGATGTTGTTTGCATGTTTTTGGTTTATCGTCCTAGCAACAGATACTGTCATAATGAAAACGGGTGCGGGAGCCACCACAAAAAAAGTAGAGACGAGTGGGGAGAAAAGAAAAACAAATATACATATCACAAGTGGTGCAAGGGACAGCAAATCATGTTTGGTTTCTTTAATATCCACTCAGCAAAAGACAAAGAAGATAACTCCAGATTCTGCAGGGGTTCAACATTATTCGCATCGTAAGAACACACGCAGTGGGATACAGAAGGACTACACTTTCCTCGAACCTGCTGGGGTTATACATCAATACAGACCATAAGTTTTTGTTTAATTGTTATTAAAGGGATTATCTATTTAAATCCCAGTTCTTGGCAAATGAGTCTGTTGAATATTAGACCACAATTAACATGCAATGCCATTTCATGTTGTTCTGCCTTTTGATTTTATGTCCCTTCGATCTCTGTTGTTGTCTTATAGTGACATGTTTCAACCGCTTTCTTGTAAGTAGATTAACATTTTAATATTACTTAAAACAGTTTGGTTCTGAAGAATATTTTATGTTTTTTGGCGGCTGCAGCTTTTGTGAAAGAAATTATCAATCTTGAAACAGATTTTGGAAAAAATGTTTCGCAAATATTGGTAATGTGAGCAAATATTTTTGGGGTTCAGGATGTATCTTATTTTGCATGAAATGCGATTGTATATTTAGCAGTAAAATATAATATAATATTCTGTCTCATCGTAAATACAAAAGAGTCCATCGTAAAGAGTCCATATTTTAAGTGGATAGCCAAAGCCACATGGACTGAAGGACACTAAAACAAGCAAAAAGACATCAGAAACACCCACAAAGAACACTGATTAAGAATCGGGCAGCTTCAGGAGGGTTCTGAACCACATGTGATAACCGGGATGATGTAACTGACAAACGATCTAAGACATATACAGTACTCTTTATTTATGGTAGACAGTGAAATGGCTTCGGAAATATACATCGACGTAGCTCTGGAAAAAAGTGTGTTCTTCGTAGGAAAATATATATATAAAAAGATGGTTTAATGTAGTATTTGGGATCTGCAATGCATCTAATCTCCGGACTAAATAGCCCTTGTCTAAATGATTGTGTGTGGTATAGACCGACATATCATATCTAGATCTAAAAGTTTATCAGATATTGATAAGCTGACTTCTACAATCAATGGGAAATAGGTCAAGGATATGCGAATTGTTTGTTGTGGTTTTTCTTAGTCCAGATAAAAAAATATGACGCTGGTATTTTCATTAGCAAAACATGCCGTATATACCGTTATCAACGAGACAATTTAGTCTTATTTTTGTCAACAAGTGTGCATCTTTAACTCTGGAGTATATGGCTTTTATTTGTAACTAAATATATACGACAGTTCGTGAATCCATAAAACATAACCGGTAGATTAAGATATTGTTCGACAAAATGATCAGAACCCAAGACAGTCTATCATAGCCCTACAATTTTAGCTTCCTTTTGCATCTTTGTTTCTTTCTTAAGTTCTTAAGAAATGCAGAGTCAGTGAAGTAGAGGTATATTGTATAAATGGAAAGCCAAATCAGAGGAGATATCTGTTTCATATGTACAGTCAGAACCATAGAGGATGGGGTGTGGTTCAAGTAGCAGTACCGATATTGGCACGGACAACCTGGTGGAGCCTCAGACAGATCCGGTACGTAACACATAATTACCTTCACGTTGCACTGAATCAGGTATATGGAAACCTCAGCTTACCAACATCAATTAAGAAAAGGGTCATTTAGCAGGGTATGACATTGTGTCATTTAAGTTAAATTTACCACCGCCATTAGGAGGGACATGGTAAAACGTTATGACGATGTAACACAAAACTGGTTCTACCGAAATTTTGGTTACATAAGACGGTGTGCCAATAAACAAAAGGGACAGTGTTATTGTATCGGATATGTCGATATATCGGTAAAGGTTTAAAGTCCGTGAACTCAGGAGTCATTGTATTCCAATTCAGATAGTTTACCATACATATATATATCAAGGATGACATGTTTTTCTATTTAGCGTTGTCCAAGGTTAAGGCTAATGTTGCCGATATCATATCGAACCCCCAGGATCGGTAGGCTATAAAAGGCGATAGGTATAGCATGCTCTGTGAAGGAAACGGACATATTTCCGCAAACAATGTTAATAAAGGTCAACGTAATTAATGTACTAGCTCATGCATAGGTAGTTTAAAAATCACTCCTGGTTTAATTATGATATAACTATCTCTCTATCGATTTAGATATAATCGCATGAAGCCTTAATTTGAACATATATATAATAGAGGTATGTAAAGGTCATGGACATAATATTTAAAGATCCATCAAGTAGGGGGAAACACAGTCAAACTGACATATAAAATAGGCCTAACACATTCTTTTTAAAAACATGCGAATCAGCAGCATATTACCTTATTGGGAAAAGGCGGTATTATACGACCCCGAAGCGGAGCGAAGCTATTTGATGTACGTAACCGACAACAGTGAAGCTTAATAAGCATGCAGTGTAATCTTTCAGAAGTGTATGTAAACCAGTGGCAAGTACTTCTACTTTAACTTCTAAATGGTACTGACCAACTTCAACAACTTGAAGATAAAATGTCAGACGAGGAGTGAAACATGGAAAGAGATTGTTTTTAAAAGATACGAGATGGTCTAATTTGCGTTTGAAAAGTGATGGTAGAGGGCTGATTTGAATAATTCCGTTGTGGGGCTCGAAATAATGTCAGGTGGGAGTTTATTCCACTCGGGTATAGTTCGAGGGCAGAATGAGCCTTTCTGGTCTGGGTTTTTGAGTGGGGAATTTGATACGAAAACTGGTGGTTTGTTCGGGATTTTCTAACTGTAGGGATTAATCTGTCTGATTTTACGATAGCGACTTTCTGGTTTGCAATGTTATGAAGCATGGTCAGACGAGCATCTCTACGTCTATCTGCTAGAGGGCGCAGCTTTAGGTGGTCCAACATTTCTGACACACTGGAGGCACGATTGTTGTACCTGTGCTTATTGAGCACATAACGCGCTACCCTTCGCTTGACCATTTCCAACTTGTCAATATTTGTTTGGGTGTGAGGGTCCCATACTGTACAGGCATACCCAAGTGATGGTCGAACTAATGATTTATATGCCTGTACTTTGGCTGATGTTGAGCCATTTTAAGATTTCGTCTTAAAAAGCCTAGCGTAGAATATGCTTTTGGGCAGATAGTATTTATATGTGAATCCCATTCAAGGTCAGATGATAGTGTTACACCCAGATACTTGGCCTGACTAAGATGTTCCTGTATGTGTCCATGTAAAGTATAATTATGGACTATTTTTGTTTTGTTTTTAGTCACCGACAACACATTGCATTTATTTGGGTGGAATATAATTTTCCATGTATTTTCCCAGAGCGCTAGTTTGTCAAGATCTTTTTTAAAGTGAAGTATAACATTTACAGAGTTCGTTCTTAAGTCCTACTAATTTTATAGAGCTTCTAGGATACTCGTATGTCCTTTTGAAAGATAATATATAGACACCATATTGTTCGGGGGCTAATAAAGAGCTTGGTAAATCAACCGGGTGTGTGTTTTACCAATTACAAGAATATAATGCTTTTTTCGGTTTGTTGTAAGATTACTTATTGCATGTAACGTATTGTCCCTCTAACAAAGCTTATAAATAAACAGCGAATGAGGCCCAAATATAAATGGGTATTCTAATTCATTTGCGACAATATAACCAGGGGTCCCAGTTATGAAACGGTTCAGGCAGGGCTGACAACACCATCACAAATAAAAGGAATCGTCAAGGCATCGGCCAAAAAGAAAGTAAGCTTAAGTTTTCCTTGTTCGGAAAAAAAAAGTTTCCATATGGAGATTTCTTGTTCACAACGAACATCCTCAGAGGAACTCAAGTCATATATGTTAAGCAACATGACATAACGTCCAAAAATCTGAATGTGTCAATATGTGTGCCTGATGAAGGGGAGTATGCACTGCAGATCCACACCAAAGATAAAAATACGAACACATACCTGAACGCATGTAACTACATTATATCTACTGAACCGACATCACACCAAAAGAAAAAGTCGCAAGGGGAGGTAGGTGACATAAATGTACATGTCAGTTTAAGTTTAGCAAGACGGTAATCAGTGAGTAACATATTTCAGCATGATCAAAACTGATATACATGTTGAAACTATTAGAATTAAACTATACTGTATATCACAGATAGTTAAAAGACTCTCTTAGAATGCAGTTTTCATCACATAAATGTTTTTACTGGATGACATATGATTAATTTCCCAATGAGTTCATGATAACTATCATAAAACTTGCCCATAGTCCTTATCAACGTGCACCTTTGGAAAGCCTTTGTTATAAGATTGTCAATCAGCAGACGATAAATCAGGATTGCCATTGTTTGGTTTTTGCTTGCTTGTTTGTTTGTTTGTTTGTTTGTTTGTTTGTCTCGTGTTTTTTTGTTTTTTTAAATCAAATACATTTTACATCATTTATAAAAAAATATATCGTTTATTTGAAGACAATCGATGGGAATAACATTGAAATCAATGCCAATTGATCGACGGAACAGTTAGTGACGTACCACATCCTGGTTTTCTTAACACTTTCCTTAGAGTTAAAATGTCTGCTATCCTTTACAGAATGTGACTGAAAGGAAGGCAAGAGATGACTTAAAAAACGCATCGACTGGAAACGATTTGGAAATATTATCGATATCTATAGCTAGGTTCCAGAGAATGGGCTTGGATGATAAGGGTGATTTAAAAGTCGCTCTAAAAAGACAAAACTTTCTTGTGTTAGAGAAAGGTACGTATTGCTTCTAAAGAATTGACAATGCACGCTTTCATACGTCCGTATTGTTTATATTTATCTTGTTCTTCATCTTGCTTTCGAAGATTGTATAGTATGCTGAAGATTCTGTAGTACAACATTTGTTATTGTTATTTATGAAGGTCTGAACAAAGCCATTACGAGGCGTCACATTGACGATCTTGATACTGCAATTCGCAAAGCTGAGAAGTCGAAGATCAAGTCTCAGCTTGCACCAAAGATCAAAGAGGCGGATCAGGTTAGGAAGGAACTGATCAAACTGAACAGATTTGCACACGACATACTGGCAATGCAGCAACTCACGGTGTCTGAGCTCCACCGCTACAGGAAACCAGAACGCCCGACAGTGGACGTGATGGTCGCTACCTTCACACTACTTGGAGAATCAAAAGATAAGATAGAGGTAACTTTCTGGTAAAACCAACACAAAATGTTCTGCGACATCAATATGTATGCAACCTAAAAATATGATACATTTTTTTACCTCTGTAAAAGTAAAATATATTTTTTCGTGAATCTTTGTGTATTCCCATCTGTTTTGAAGGCTCCTCGGCCATTTTTTGTACTTTTGTAAAGACATTGAGTTCCTAATTTGTTCTTGTATATAGACGGTACGGTACATGTTTGTCTTTGTTTTGTTAATCATAAGCCAATATATCGCGATATGTACATTTACAAAATGTGTCGAAATATTATTTGTATAAGTATCGTGAAACAAATGATCAAATGCTATAAGTTATAACCTCCTTAAATTCTAAACTTTCCTACTGTATTGTAAACGTATTATGTGATGTTGCTAGATTTGGCCGGACATACAGACCTTGTTGAGGAGGGTAGGACCTAATTCCTTAATGTGTCGTATACAGCAGTTTCCTGAAAAGCAAGCCCATAATGTGGATGAGAGTACCGCAAAGGAGGTCCAGAACATGATCCGGGTATATGACAAGGACACCGTCCGGCTTTGTAGTCCTGCTGCTGGAACCTTCTACGTCTGGGTAAGAATATTTGTTAGCCCTCCATATGCTAGCTTATAGTACATCAATACATACAAAACATATCAAAGGCAATAGCTGTATAAAGATTTGTTTCATATTATACAGTATGATAATGTTAAAATAAAGTTTAAGTTATGTGTAAAAAGAATTCAAAGGACTGCATAATGAATACATCATTGGGGTGTTCATCTATAAAACTTGTAATAGTTATCAACCGGTATATGGTTAATATGTATATCGTCACCACCAATTTAACTAACAATAAAAACAATATAAGATAGACAGTGACCCCTGCAGTTATCGATACCTGACTATAAGGGAAAAGTGTATTATCTGAAATATGTGGCTCCCAAAAGGATGGTGTCGTTGTATATTTTACTACACCAACAACACGCCCACTATCTTGTTCGTGTAGAACTGTGTGTCGGTAAAGGTTTCATAGCAATAAACTGTTCAGGCATTAATCGACTGTCTATGATTTAGGCAGCAGGAAAATGAGAAATTCGTGAATAACTCTTTTATTCTATTATACATTCTAATAAGAATAAGAACAGTATTCCCGAGCTATGCCTTAAGGAGTATCAAAAAGAAACGAGAACAAATGTATGATTCGAAAAACATCGTTGAATGGTTCAGTTCAATGTAACAGCAAATAAAACTTGATGGTCCCACTACAAACAGAACACAATACATATACGTACACACGTAGGCAAACACACATAGGGAGAAATTAGCAAGGTGGCATAGGACTAGTAGTAAGCACCTGATAAGGCAGCTCCTGCGAATTCCTCAAATTGTATTGATTAATGTATATGCTAATTGTATTGATTTTATTAATTGCATATCTATGTACTGAAAAGCGCCTTAGAGTGGCTTATTCTAGCTAGATAGGGCGCTATATCAAATGTTGTATGTTATTATTATTATTATTAAAATTTCCCCGTTCCTTCCCACTATTCATGTCGGCTAATGATTTCGGTCGTTGTAACTAAGAATGTACCAATCAGCTTATAATAAGACATTAATCATTTTCCATTTGCCCACCCTTTTCAATAAATATGATTACAAATTATACATAATGTATTAACATTACAATTGTTAACATGGAAAATTAATGGGTTATTTCTGCCATATCAAGAATGTGTTCCAAAATGAAGTACAGGAAAACAAAATAGATTCATAAACAATCCGTTGATCTTTAGCTTATATTGACCTCTTTCTTTTAAAGGTTAACAACATTGTAACGGATATCATCGGGAAAGGCAGTTCAAGGAAAGAGGGAACAGAGACAATGGACTGTAGCCAGTGCAGGAAAAAACGTCGGGGTCGGCTGTGCTTCCTTTGTACTTAAGTCTACGTACAAATACAACTTTGTATTTATTGTGTAACAGTATTTGTAACAGTATAGAGAAGTAGTATTGATAGTATATTATCGATTCAATATACTACACATTACCAATGTATGTTGTCAGTACAGTAACCTTATTAATGCCCTATCAATCACGAATCAATGTTCAAAATGTGTTTTTGTTCGTTGAAATGATAAACGTAGTATTGACTGACAAATGTTAAATTAATAACTAACGAGTCTTACAATGAACCAGTGCTTAGTGTATAAGATGCACAGTGCTTTCCAAACTGTTCCGTTATTTACTCTTGTTGAGTCCAGGAAAACATAATTTATAACTAAATTCTTATTTTCTCGTCCATTATTCATTTAGTTCTCACGAGCCTATTTTTCACTCATTGTAGACAGACACTGTTTTAAGATATTTTTTTCAGATTTATTTGTGTTTATCCGGATGATCCGACAAAAAATGAAATGAGATATTTATTGTGAAACTCCATTAATCATTCTTTGAAAAATAGCCAAAGTATGAGCTTTATAGACAATATGTATTTTAAGTATAAGACATAAAAGCATGATGAAGTTATGCGACTGAGTGTACATTATGATCTTATGTAAAATTAACAATGACGGCGTAGTATACATATATTTTTGACAAGACGACAGAATTATTTTTTTAATATTAAAAGAATGGCAAAGCAAATACAAGTAGCAGACTGCTGATGTAAATCCGTGGCATGACTTTGATATCATGTTTTCGTCCAAATGATATGAATTGCATTTTCTTGTATTTTTAAAAAGGGCGATATCCATATTTATATAATACTTAAGTGATATTCGTGATCCAATTCATGTTGTACTTTATTTGTGATTTTATCTTTTTATATTAATTTGTGATGAATACATGAAATGAACTATGCTAATGTATCAAGCATGTATATCTATGTCTACTGTATAACACGAAATGTTCGTGGGGACTTTCCTTCGTGGTTTGAAGCCATTTAGATCATTGCATAGTACAAGCTTTCGTGGATATTCTATATTAACAAACAGTAGACACATATATCATTCAATTTCGTTGTATTTATTTTCATAGTTCGATAGCAACCACTACCCAAGGATTTGAGAAAGATATTGGCTGGTTGCAAAAGCCCTATAACCACGGATAACAATTTGTAAAACGCTTTTAGACGACATACGGACTAGGATGTGATCAAGCGGTACAGTTGTATATAAGAAAAACTCGAATTATTATCATTATTCAAGTGAGGAGTATAAAGGTCTCGTACAGACTACTTTAAAATAATAGAAATACGTGTTACAAAAAATAATGCATTATGTCAATCTTCGTTTTGAAAAAAAATGCATAAATATAATGTGACGTGCGGAATGAATGGGAAGACTATAATAGACATAGGATGAACTAATTGTTGGCATCAGTTTCGATGTCTCCATGAATTACGGACCTGTAAATCATTGTAATGCCTCACATTACAGCCATACTTATAGAATATTTACATTCACTTGTTAAATACTAACGCATTACAGTCTGTATGCCTCATGATATCTTAGTGTAACATTCGTGATTTCATTTCTAGTTATTCAAGATATGTAAATCGAATTGTAATAACTTTGAATTATGCTACCCTCTATTAATATCCTTATATCAATGGGGGTTGCCGGGTGTCACTTTAAGTAGCGCATCAGCCTTTCACCTGGATGGCTGGAGTGATTGGTTATTTCTAATTATTGCTTCCAATAGTCTTGGTGTCTAACATCATCATGATTCATATTCCAAGATGTTTAATCAATGTCTCCTTAAGGAATCCTGACACACTGCCAAAAATGTAACTTGGTGTTAGAAATTGTTTTACTCCGGTATCACAATAACTGTGATGAAAAATCAATTCTGAAAAGAAAACGTTATATTGTGGGACTTTGATTAGGAATAATACAGATATAAAAAAAGAAAGAAAAAAAAATCAACAAAGTGTTTAAAGTAGTAAAAAAAGTTCAGCGGAGCTAGACCGGGTTTCGAACACTGGGTCACATGAGATTATTATACTTTCGCTCTAAGCTATTGAGCTACCTGGTCAATGGAAGTATCCTAACCCAACCGTGCTATACATGTAGTTATACCCAAACGGCAGCTAAAGGGAGGTTACTAACTGTGCATACGGGAAAAAATCCAGTGGGACAGGATTCCTTAAATTGTGTATCATGTTCATTATTGTGATTTCACGTCAAACGCGGTCACGGATTGTTATAAAATTTGAAAGTATGCTTATACTTATAAAAATAAGCTTGCCATGACTTTGATGGGTGGTCTGTGATTAAAGTCAATAAAACAAATTTGGTTCAAGTTGTAAAATACCTTTCTAACTATGTTATATTGTACAGGTAAGAGTATGTGATTACTAACTGGTTTGTTTGTTTATGACCTTTAACATGAGTTAATATCACAATGTTTATATTCTAACTAATGTGACGTTGCCTTGTGTATACATATTGTTTGTTTATTGGAACAAAGGCGGTTATAACAATTTGTGATTGGACCCCATTCACTATACTCATTTATATGAATGAAGACAGTTTTAGGTATTATCATATATTTGTGCAAACTTACTATATGGTTCATACGTTACTTTTATATGTCAATAATAATAAATACCACCTTTAATGGTAGTCATTCCTAATCTTGATGTAATGTTTTGTTGTGCTTTCAATTATGACAAATAGAGATTCAAGGAGATATATAATATATACACCACACTGGGTTATGTCCGTGATGATATTCGCTGAACGCGTCATACAATACACATACCCTGCACGTGGCTGATAGCGCTTCACAAACGTCACAAGTTATTTGATTCCCTGTGTGAATTAGGCCAGATATCCACATCTTGTTAGTGCGCTTCATGATTTAACATAAGTCACAATAGGGTACCGATATAAACAAAAGCATGTAGCAGTAGGGATAAGCTTTTAGAGCATGTTGTAAATACGCTAAAGGTTACTGATTATGTCAAATTTGAGTTGTTGGAAGAAGACGATCAGTACCTGTTTCTCGTAGGTAGTAGAATGGTGATGGAAATAGATGACGATGAAAGAGAGAACTGCATCATCGGAGTCGTCGCAGGCTGTGTAGAGCACATGCTTTCTCAAGTTAACATTTGTCTTGGGAAGTGAATCTCAATTTCGGAGAGGTCAGTTGTACTGACCAATGTAGTATGTAAATAATCTGCAGTGTTGATAACATAACATAACAATATGACATGTATATACCATGTTTTCTATAATTGAAACGAATTTATCATTGTAACAGTTCACGCATGTAAGACATGTTATCTCTATATGGAGGAAATAAAGAATATGACTGTCTGTCTGAATAAATTACAGTCCCTAAGTAAAAAAAAAAAAAATCAGTAGCATGATTCCGAGAGCGCGGAGTCGTCCATGAATTCAATCATGCTTTCATAAAGTACATGAAAACAGCTTTCCACTATTATTTAGATGTAGCAAGGATTTCATGTAAGGTTTTTTTCTTATTATAGTAATAAATCCTTGACAGAGTTTACTTTTTATAGTTACCCTTCCCGTAATAATTCAAAATATGCATTTCCTAACAAAACAATCCAGGTTAATGTACATCATTCCCTTCAAAAAGTTGTCCACAAGAGAATGATCATAAGTTACACTCTGATGATTGCATCTTCAAAAATAAATTTTGTAATAAAAGCATTATTCCATGAATTGCATGCACAATACAAATGTTACGTCCTTTCGGCGACTCCTCGGTGGTGCCAGAGACAGAAAAAATCAACGTTCAAATTGCTTTACACTACTGTTGAAAGAGAAACATGAGTGGTGGGAGGTTGTGTGTGGGACGCTTTAACAATATATATATATATATATTTATCACATAATCGGCCTGTTATCCAGTGAATTCGCCCGTGTAATATTTTTACATATGTCACTAGTGTTATATACCCTGGAGCGTTTTTTCATTGGCTGTGCCAGTCAGAAATCGATTGTGACGTCATAATAAGGACAATGACGTGACCTCATAAATTGTGAATGGCGCAACAAAATGGCTGTCTCCGGTTGATTAAGCCCTCTACAATTTGGCTTTAAAACCCGTCAAAATGTATTTTTTTTGAGTTATGTGATAAAAAGTATCTTAGATTTGTTTTCATTCCATATGAGCTTTTTATGAAACTAGAAGTTTTAATGTTTGCTCTTCAAGGCTCGCAAAAATAAAAACTCCCAAGACTCGTTTCATAAAATTTCATATGTAATGAAAACTCATTTAAGATCCTATATATATATATATATATATATATATTTAAATTAGAGGAGCACTGGTTAATTACAAATTGAATAATGAGTATCGTGTGTATATCATTAGCCGTGTCACTTAAAAAAAGAAATTATTATGGCTGTCATGTTTTCGATAAATCTTGGGACTAATGTATCATCTAACAGCGTCTACCACCTTGTATCCCGAAAGATGTTAATAATAAAAGGAATCCTCTACAACCACTACCCAAGCTTTACAGCAAACTATGTATGTAAAATCGGAGGTAGAACAGGATGAGAAACAATCACTGAAATGCGATAAAATTGATTATGTAAACCATGCATTTTCTGTAAAGAATATGTGAAACTAACAATGCGTATTCGATTGAGTATACAAATTCCTTCAGGGTGCATTTAATTGTGTACCCGCGTATATTACGTTCTTTGTTCGATTGAATAGACCAGACGACACAGAACGCTGAACTCACTAATATACGAACCACATATGTGCTAGCCGCTTTGTAACAGAAACACCCATATGTAATTTGTCTGCGTGTGCACTGTTTTGCGGTATGATGACGTACCATAATCCTGCCAACATTTACGAGGAGGCTGCTGACGAATCAATATTTTTAAAATGGTGGACTCAGATGACACATAATGCTCTGGACGTTGTAAACCTCATTCCGTATTGACTTGTAAGTTCGGCTATTTCACATATAATGTAAACTTGCTCTCAGATTAATTTCAGACATTACATGGTTAACCAAAATATGTGAGAATAGGGTGTTCATGGCAGACGTTTTGAAAGCCGTCAGGGATCGATGAATACGAATAAAGCATTGTTCACATCTGCGTGTTGAACATTTTGTATTATAACGTCATGTAACGGGATATATATTTTATATACTTCTTGTTTAGTGAGTGTTTAATTCACATATTAAGTTAGGGGATGTATACTGTTTACAAGGGGTGCTTAATAAAGCGGAAATCAGAATATCGTTATGTAATGCCAATGAAATGTCCGATGATATGTTTCTGTATGGGGGAACGTCTCGACGAGGATTATAGTATTTATAAAGCAATGCAGTGGTGGTACAGCTGGTAGCTTAACTTGATTGCCTTGTGCACTGGAGTTAACAAGAAAAGTGAACTTCAGTTCACATGCTTGTGCACTGGAGTTAACTCTGAAGTAAACTGGAGTTCACATCGATGTGCACTGGAGTTCACATCAACTACCGTTCACAAGGTAAGTTTCTTAGTATCCTTTTATGAAAATAGCATAATAACTATATAGCGTGATGACCTATTTAATTATTAGCACATGCACCGACTTGGACCCATGGTACATATATATACATGTATTGATGATTTAAAGTTAATAATACTTTGTCTTAAAGACATAATCACCATTGAAGTTCCTTTATAAGTATCACAGTGCTAGTATTACGTCTACATCAAATATACAAATATAGCTATATGATAGTGAGTCTTTTTCTGCATATTCTTTTCGAAGAAGAAAAATGGAAAGCTCATGTAGGTGAATAAGAACACATACTATAAATATATGTATTGTCTCATTCATGATGTACTTCAGTTACAGGAATAAAGATCTTAATTACAACAAAACATTTATTTGTTAAGAATTAAATATGTAGGTATCCAAATTGACTTTTCTACAGGTAAATTTAACCTGTCTGAACCGTGAAGCTAGCACAGGAGAAAATTGTCTTATTTGTTTCAATTCTCTCTTTGTAAATCAAGTTATCAAATAAACTTAGACTTTCTTAAAAACCCACTAAAAACAAATAATATTGATTCTAGAAAGTGTGTAGTTTTCTAGTACGAAATAAGATTCTCTATAAGTCTGTGTTTCTAGTAAGAAAATATATTTAACTACATGTCAACCAAGTTAATTAAGTATTGTTAAATGCACATTATTGAACGGTGTTTTGTGTATACTTTGATGTCACTCGCCTGCCTAATCTAATTATGTTAAGAGAATGTTATATGTATATATGTATGTACCTATAAACCTAAGAGTTTTTGGCTAATAAAGAACAGAACAGTGATGTAAAACAACAAGGGGNAAAAGGGGGGGGGGGGGAATGTGTCAGGGGGTGGTTACATTGCCCTAGTAACAATCTTTAAATCTACCACTGAAGTAAAGTTGTAACTGTATGATTAAAACTTGAAGTTCCCTGTGAAACTTAATTGATTTGGTTTTTTATTAGTAAATCAATCAGCTTATTTCATTTTTGTACATATATATATAACTTTACCTACAGGTGCTTGCACCCTGCAACCATGACTTTTATCATCACTTTAACAAGTGGCAATGCATTACAATACCACCAGGCCAGCTGTATACCTGCTACACTGGTGAGGGGAACACAGTAGACCAGGGGAGGGGGTGGTGGTTTGGGATGTATTTTCTTAGTCAACCATCAGCATGTACATGTACCTGATGTGTATATATATATAACAAAGAATATATCAAAATCAGACTAACTCAAAGATTTTTTCTTCAGGCAACTTTGGATTAACAAACTTAGATTAATTACACATCTTTAGCTTGATATTTACCTTTTATCTATATAGTCCATGCCATGATATAAGCTTTTGTTTTACATTTTATATTTTCTTGACTTGTTTATATAAAATAAATAAGCGAATTACTCTATTGATGTTGTGTTATAGAAAAACCTTTCATAAAAAGTATAAAATTATAGGAAAACTGACCACATTTACCCATATCACATAACAGATACTGATCCCCTATCCTGACACTACAACATTGATATGAAATGTGATTTAACTTACTATGATACTTTTAAACTTTTTCATTTGAAATAGTACAGCTATCTATAAATTTTCTATAATCACCAGAGATAGTGTACACATTCCTTTTTTGTACATGTACATGTTCAGTTGAAATTTTAAGCAATAGAAAAAATACATGTGTATCGTTGATTCGATATTATGAAATATTCAGTTGAATGATTCTTTCTTTTCTCTTTCAATTTTCATATCACAAAGAAACCCTTTTCATTATAAACAATTATTGAAATATGTACTTCAGTCTTTTAAACTTGGGAAACACTGTAGTGCACTGGAGCTAACACTGAAGTGAACTGGAGTAACATTTAAGTGAACTGGAGTTAACACTTAAGTAAACTGGAGTGCACTTCAATGTTTTTGTCAAGTGCAGTTCCTTGTTCACTACGTTTGCACTACAAAGTGCACTATATATCAAGTTAAGTTTGCTCCCAACTGTACATTCAAAGTAGGAAAATGTAGACTTACGCAAAACGTACTATCCAGCATAATAAATAGGCTTGATGATAGGAGTGTGACGTAGCCTCAGATACTTTTTTTTGGGTGGGAGTGGGGGTGGTGTGGTGTGGGGGTGGGGGGTAACACCAAAAAGGAAGAGCAAGGTGGTGATAGAAGAAAAGTTGCCTGCATGGCATGGATCCTTTATAGACCAGTTTTAAAGTACCATAGTAGACTAAATGAAATAAATTGTATCACGATTACAATAATGGAAAATTCATACATGCATATTCCCATTGTTTAATGGACTCGATACGTCATGCGTCATGTGGAATCTGACCTGTAAATGCCAAAGAAAGCTATATTAAATGATTTAACAGCGGATTCACCACCGCACTCTCAAACTTCCCGTATCCCTTTTACTTATGCAATATCATGTGTTACTCTATCTCTACCGTGTGTTCCACTTAGTTTGCTATTTCAATCAGTGAGTTGTGAACAAAGCATCCAATCGATTTTTAGAGTTAATGTATACTTAAACTCGGAAAATAATACATGCTGTTTTTTATAAACATTATATGAAAATAATTTCACCAATATTTTCCTTGTAACGTTTTGCTGTTATTATGATGTGCTTGTTTTTGCAAGTCGTGTTTAGATTATTGTGTACAAATTGTATTATAATTAAAAGCCTTTGTAGTTTTTCTCGACTGCTCGATACATTTAATAAATACAGCAGCTGTGAAAGATGGATATTTTGATCACAGCAAGCATCCAGAAAATAAGAAAAAAATGTACTTTGGAAAAATATAACTGAGTTTATGGTAAGATTTTGTTATGATATACATCTGCATGAACAGTTGTTTTTTCTTTTTCAGGACGGTTTCCCAAAAATGGAAATAAACACGGGATATCCTTTTTCAACTAAATGATCCGAAAGATTTAGTGTAATACCCAGCATCCTACAACTACTGTGGACACGGAATCCCAACGATGGAATCTCAAGATTCAATTGGCGAGCTACTTACACATGCCATAGATTTTGCCAATGTCATGAGCAACTCAGTGGATAGCATTTATCGGCCCATTGCAGAGGAAGCCGTTGCCTATGGCAAGCGTCTCAATGTGGATGTGGTGAAATGTGGCAGTCATGCTGAGCGTTTGTATCTCCCCTACTTCAGCAGAGCGAACGATGATGCAATATGGGCGATTGACGCCAGTACAGATATAGATATGATGTTTGTGTTTGAAAACTATCATGTAGTTTCAGACGTGGAAAAATCACATATGAAAACTGACATCATTCAATATCAATTAGTGGAAGCAGCCCATCCAGGGTACTTCTTCATAATTCCTTCAAAAGATCTGTCTAGCGAGGACGTTACAAAACTTACAGTGTCACAGGTCCAGAATATTGCGTTATCGAGTGAAACGTTGAAGAGGCAATTAGAAGAATCTATCAAGCACAGCAGGAAAGGGGCAATCAATCTTATATTTATGGAAACACCGACTCTGAATGGACCATCGGTTACCTTCGAGTCTCGTATGAACAGTGGAGTAATGGTTTCAATTGACTGCGTCTTCGGTGTGAAATGCTCATCGTGGCCAAAACAGCTGGACAACTTCTTCACTAGGGAAAGACATTGTGAATGGCCATGCGTCACACTACTGGGAGAAATTAGAGAACAGGGGTGTCATCTGGTGGCTACCGGGGCACACGGCAGCTGCTTACGCCCCTTCGAGTGGAGATTATCGTCAACAAGGGCAGAGAAAATGTTAGCATGGTCTTTATCAGAAAAACAACGCCTTGCATATCAGATTGCAAAGTCGTTGATCAAATCACACGACAAGACGAAATGTATCGCATCCTACTACGTTAAGACGGCTCTTTTCTGGCTTTGTGAAGAACGTCAGCAAAGCGTCTGGACGGCATCCTCAAATCTTGAGAATATAAAATGCATACTGGAAAAAATATTTCATTTCTTTGCCAACAAAAATGTTCCAAACTATTTTGTAGAAGAAAACAATCTTGTCGACCACTTTGAAGACGAGATATTCGTGCATGCTATTGAGGGTCTTGTGGAGCTGAATGAAATGTTACTACCCAGACTTGCACAACTTTTACAACGCGTGTCAGTTATGCCAGTGGAGTTTCAGCAAACCCCAGCAGAAATGATTACATCGGAAAATTCAAAAGCGTTACTTGAGTATTTGTGTGTTAACTTTTGTTTTGGAAGTATAGCTCACACAATTTTATCTCAGATAGAAAACAAAACGCATGTCAACTATTTGTACTTGGCTGAAACTATGTTCAAACATCTGACAAGTTCATCACACGTCGAACAAATTGACACAACTGTGAAACACGCAACAAATGAGCGTTTATCGTGCCAAGAGGTAAACAAGGACCAGACGCAAGACGTGTTATTGAACAAGATGTGGTCTCTATCAAGGTCAGGCTTACATTCTGCATGCAGTCTTCTAGAAAATATAATCCAATACTTCCAGTCAAAGGAATCCGACATGGAAATAATTTGGAAACTTTGTGTAGAACTGGAAAATATTGCAGCTACCCTTTTGAATGGTTATTGTCAGCCACAAAATGCAGGAACAACTGTTGTAAATGACTGTATTTATTTGCTGGACAGAAGCGCGCATCTGCATCATGAGTATGCCTTCACATACACACAGAAATATTGGAAACAGTATCCTCGATATCGTATAGAACCAACAAATAATCCAAACAAACTCTCATTTTATTTCTTGGAAATGTGGATAATATTGCTTATCAAATATCAACGAGAGGGTAACTGCCAATTTGGGATCATAGGTCGAGGGAACAAAGACAACATGCGACTTCCAATCTGTGTTCGACGACTGGTGGATTTCATGCTTTTCTATGACAATGATAAAACATGGGTTCTTTTGCAGATCGATTCAGCCTTGTTTGGTGGGAAACCAATTGCGAACTCCCTAAAGATAAAATGTATTCAGCATTCATCTACAAACTTGAAAATGGACGGGTTAATCAATTTAACAAAACTGAAAATTCGTGCGAAAGCATACAGGACGGACGTAGAAAAGGGCCACCTGCAGGTGGAACTTGGCAAACTGTGTTGCATCAAAGGAAAACAGTGCAACTACTCAGAGGACCAATCTAAATGGCACAGCCGGTCTCAGGAATATTTCAGAGATGCTCTCAGTTCTTGCCCCTCGGACATATCAGTGAAAGTTGATTTTGCGGCTTTTTTGTTTACAACCAACCGTAATAATGAAAGCATTGGCCTTCTTCAAGACGTCTTCACATGTGCAGGGGAAGGAACCACTGTGAATACGTACAATATCAACACATACCGTACCCTCCCTGAAGGGTTACAAGAACTCGTAGGCAACAAATTCCCAATAGTCATACCATCACTTTTGATCGGGTGCTACTACATTCTTGCAACTTACAAAACTATAAAGATGTCACGAGATCATTCTTTATTTGGCAAAATAGTGGCTTGTCTAAAGGATGCAGTTTCTTCAAGTGACGAGGATACTCGGAAGCTAGGGCAGCACATAATTACAGCTTTCTTATCTCACTAAACTCTATATCTGTATGTTTATTTTCATATAACAGCAAATATGACGCTCCCGAACTAACCTTACTAAATGGCATCTTTCCGTATAATTTTGACTACCATAAGCAGATCCGATATGCGTTTCTTATTTAAAATGCATGTATCTCTTTTATAAACAAAGAAAAACAAAAAGATACAAAGGCTTTCCTACTGGAAACTCTGAACACCAGTGAATAATACTTTAACTGTTTTTTAGAATAAAGGTTAAGCTAAATAGAAAAATTGTCGAACCTATACTGGAACTTGACTACTTCTGAAGTGATTACGGAGAATGTATTTGTACAAATGTTTAAATGACCCAAAGTTGCACGTCTATACTTCAATAGCGTTCAGTAAATGATAGGTAGCTCGTTTCGTCCCTGGTCCCTGCTGAGGGAATATTAGCCCCTTCCAATTCAATAACATACCTGGCGTTTAGCATGTTAGAGAGAGCAGAGTTCCCTATATTCTGTCCTACCTGCATTCCAAGACTTTGGCTGCAAGGGCACTCTGTGGCACATAGACTCCACACATCTGTACAGGCTATTATGTAAAGCTTTTGAAATTTCCCCTGAAGTTTTGTCTTTGGGTACTTCAAGTTTAGAAAATTAGATCTGAGGCAGTTCTGTGCTTTTAATGTACTGCTAACCCCAGTTGTTGTAAATCCTCATTAGACCTTAAGAACTGACTGTCCGTAACGAATGGTTATAATGGAGCATTGACTGATCATCTAACACACCTCCGAGACCGGTAATTGGTCGGATTGTGTTGAAATGTTTCAATGTCTGAAAGGCCCTTTCCTCGTGGTCTTAGATCATAAGAGATTGATGTATTCACTGATGTTCTATATCCTTCATTGTGATGGTATGGCTCTGTGTAGTAGCGCTCTTACGGTACTTTTCTTGTGTTGCAGCCGATGATGGTAGTCGAATATTAATATAAGACACAGACATAAATATGCGAGGCTGTAGTCTATTTAAATGGGTATTTTGGAATATATAATTTGTTCACAGAAAATAACCAAAAACGTAAGCAATAACAATTAATAAAAACATATAAAACAATTTCAATATATCTTTATTATAACAACCTTTATATAAATATATATTTGAATATAAATATTTTAACACAAGTTCACAGTTGATATGATAGATAATGTTAATTTACGAATTCATTTTCATCAGGATACATTCCATTATTTGTGGGATGCGTAAACGTTTGAGTTATGTATTCTTAATATCTCAGTTCTACATTTAACATCTAATTTTAAATAATACAGGTAAGACAATTTTTAACATTCTTTTTTGAGAAAAAATCGAATAGACGAATCCTCATATGGTTTAATATAATATATATTTGTTTCATTTGCTGTTGAAATATTTCATATGTTGATCCGGATCGACCTGGTTCACAATAAGGCCTTCGCCATTATTGTCGGTGTCGTTTAAAAGCTTGAAGAGTGCTTCTGTCATCACATCGGTACTGAAAGACAAAATAAAAAAGTTACAATAAGTTTACTGTGTCTTCCCCTTTTAATTTGAACGTTATAAATTACAAATACCAGACCGTAAATTCGTGGGATACACATGGGCATATCACTGATAATACAAAGGAGTCTCGATAAAGTGGCTGAAGTAGGAGATGACTGGACCCTTGGTACAATATACCTAAAGAAAATATGGACATGTTCTTTTAAACACCCGATGTATAAAGGATTAACGGAGTTACGGATAGTTGTGACCGAGGTTAGGAATATTGACCGAGGAATGGATAGTGGTTACTGAAGTTATGAATCACATTTTTTGTTATTTTGATGCTATAATTAAATGCACGCCAATATATGTAAAAATAAAAAAAAAACATTGTACCTTTCTTTGTTTTTATCTATAAAGAGTTTTTTTCTCAAATAAATGTGGTTACAAACAATATGTGGAAATGAAATGGTGGCTGTCCCTACCTCATCAGGCTCGTATCACCGAAGAACTTTTTCCTCATCTGCTGTATGTCATCAGTGATCATTTCGGTATCTATGGCTCCGGGACAGAGACAGGTAAACTTCACTCCGTTTTCTTTCATCTCCGGCATTTCCTTTGGGTAGGTATACGTAAGAATTTAAAAAAAAATCACAACAAAATGATAACAAATTATGATAGAACTGTGACAGGACCTACTGCTTCTATCGGGGATCAAACTAGCGACTCTACTTGCCCAGCCCGCTGTTCTACCGACTGTAGGAATGAGAAACTTACTCTAGCTTGAAGCTTGAAGGCGACTTTGACTCTCAAGCTAACCCAAAACATGTTCATGTTTCCTCCCCGAACACCACTAGACAAAGTTTAAACATTTTATTTCATAATATTTTATGGCGTAAACAATAGGATTGACAGCAGGCTAGGCCTATATAAGTTCTCTCCTTAGGTTGACATGACAAAGACAAAGATGAAACGGTTAGTAAGAAAATATTGATACAAATTATATATTATAAGTAGCATAACTCCCCAGTCTATATATAGCAGATGGCATAGGGGAGATAAATCCATGAATGTTTCAATTATAAATTATATATAGATATTTAATTGACATTTTGAGCTATACAATGCTCTTATTAAAAAGTCAATCAGAATTAATTAGTAATAGGCAAGCAATGCCCTAATGATATAACATAAAGAGAAATTGCTACAATTTTATTTTTATTTTTATGCAAGTCATTAATGCCCCCTGTTCATACCCTGCTGCTGTTACACAAAGTAGTTAAAAGTATAGAACCATGTAGTATCAATATATATCCATTGGTATGAGTGATAAAAAAGTAAGGGATATAGCAACAACAAAATATAAAAGTAAAATGAGGCAATTCAGCTAGAAGATTTTGAAATACATGAAGTATATGTGTAAGATGTATTGCCAGTGTTCTATGTGTAAATCTTTCATTCCATGGAGTTTCAGGCAAAAAATCTCTAACGGCCTCTACCGTTCACATATCATCCACTCGAGAAGAATCCAGATTTAAACCCGGAACACTTAAGCATTCAAAGTTAGCACAATTTAGTTTTACTTTATTGCACCCATCAGTAAAAACAGAACCCAAAGCTTAATCCTTTAGGTGTATAGGATAAACATCAATGTATACATAACAATCAGTTGAATCACATAATGCCTTTCTGCTTTCACAATTTGTAAATACATCAGAGATATCATTATTGAAACATATTTCATTATATTTAGTAGGGGAATGTAGATCTGCCGCGAAAATTAAGCAGTATATATAACGTTATTAATGTCCCAATCAAAAGCATGTAAGTATCAAATACACTGCCAGTTTATTCTTAACAATCGTATCAAGCATGTCGTATAGAAACAATTCGGCAATCTCGGTTGAAACAATTATGTTTTAATATTTCAAATAGTAAACAAAAGTGTTACACAGGTTTGATACTATACCATGATCGAAGTTTTGAATTTGATTCCTGTTAACGTTAGTACTTACCGCAAAAGATTTCGTCAGGCCAAACACTCCATATTTACTGGCAGAATAAACTGGCAGTATCGAACACGGTTGGACACCTGTACAAAGGAAAAAGATATTTCAATAATTTTATGTATCATCGACGTAAGTTGTTGTCTGCCCTTTCATGCTTGTATAGAATTCAGTGTCATAAAAATACAACAGTATACCAGCTAGAACTAACGCAAAGTCCACATAGAATGTATCTAGCCTGTTCAAATCCAATTCGCAAGAACGTTGTAATATTCAAAAAAAATAAATGGATACTTTGTTCTTTTCAATTTAAATCATTGAAACATTGGAGAAACAAGATAAAATTTTATTTATTCCAGTAAGAATACAAACAGTATTGTAAAAAAAACACACCTATATCATAAGTTCTTTTTATTCAATAGAAAGACGCTGGCGTTCTTCAGATTCACTTCATCGTACAATACCAACAAGTGTCATTCTCTCAATGGCTAGCAAATACAGCTCGAGTTTTGACCATGGTGAAAAGATTATAATTAAAGAGAACATTAAATGTGTACGAAAAATCCGGTTAAAATTGTTTCTAAGAGTGAAAAATTGTGTCCTATTGAGATAGAGAATCCCCGCACTACTGCCAGAAATGGTTACTATGTGTTGGAAACTTCTGTTTCCTGCATGACTATAGTGTTTTGATCTCATACAGACAAAACAGAAACAAAAACAGAAAACTAGTCCTTGTGGAACTTATCAAGATGAAATATATTAGTAAAAAAAATCAAAAACAGTTTTCTGAGTGTTAAAACGCAATGGGGCCACCCCGGCTTTAAACCCTTTGATACCGATCATTCCGATAAAAGCCAAATTAAGGGGAGGTTACCTTGTGTACAAAAAACTTGATTTTAGGCAGATTCGACTGTTAAACATTAACAATTAATACTTGAAGAAAGCTTACCACTGTTAAAACCAACAAATCAACAAAAAGAATTCCCGGAAAGTTATGTATCGCTTATATCTCACCAAATATGGAGCACATGTTGACCACTATACCACCATGGCCACCCCGGTCCTTCCTTAACGCCTCCGCAGCAAGTTGTGTTCCAAGTATAGATCCTTTCTGTTGACCATTTCAAATTAGATGAACAAATGAATAGTAGCTACTTTGTTATAATTACGTATTATTGAGCAAACACACATTTTTCTCGTGTTTACAATATGTCCGTTTACAAGTTTTGGATGATTTCAGAAGTACATTTCTTAGATGTCAATGATTGTGTGAATAAGGACCAAATTTGATTTCTGAATCTGGAATATAAGAATGCACATACTGTATAGTAGAATTCGAATCTAATACAAAACCATGAAAATAAAGCGTTTTATCGCTGGCTCTGCTGGATGCTCAACCAATCTATTATCCAAACTTCTAACTGCCATTCTTAGTACCATAATTATGTTCAGGGTCACTGTCATTATGTGACATCGTACTTCAGACGTAGAATCACGCCTTGCAGGAAGTTTCTCTCTTCATCGATGCCAACTAAAACTGCTCGGCTACTTGGACTTATAAATACTCATGATGGTGAGGCAGCAAACGATTTATAGAAAGGTAAAAAAAAACAGAGAGCATATTAAGGCAAAATAGATATGATTACACTGCTTATACTGTATACCGGGAAACATTCGTCCAGTAAAATATCCGCCCTTCACTGGTAAAATCTATAGTCGCCCAGTGTTAATTTCGCCCTTCGCATGTACTAACTATAAAGGCTAAATTGTGTGCATACATTCACTGTTAGGATAAATTCGCCCTTATTGCGGCGGGCGTAAAGGGCGAAAATTAAATTGGAGCCTTAATCTTCCGGTTTACAGTATTTTCATGTTTCTGTTAAACTGCTTATGATAGAAATATCCATATGTATTAAATTAGGTTTTTAATGGAATACGAGTAAAAGAGTCAACGTTAAATCGATTTTACCAAGTTTACGTCAACGACTTTCCCCCAGTTTTCCTCGTCTGCTACTCCAGCATTGTTTATGACGATGTCGACCCTTTTGAATTTGTTCTTAGTTACCTGAAACACATCTGAATATGTATATTAAAATTAGTAAGATTTAATCCCATTTCATTTTTCAAGTAAAGCATCTGTATAAGAAATGATTATATTTTTGGTGTGGTAATCATTATTTATTAATTACCGGTAGGTGTTTAGTATTGCTTATTGATAGGATGTGCAGTATAAACTGATTAATGATAAGGTATTCAAACTTAATTGATTATCTGTATGATGTTTACCCTCAGTCATTATACCATAAATTCCACGCCCGAACATTCACCTCTAGTTATATAGACTGCCTAATAGCGCCATGATAGTGCCATTACATAAAACATACAGCTACCGAGCTCAACAATGATTTTATCTTACACTCAACCGCTTGCGACAAACTTACGCTCTCATGGCCTTAGATCTGCATGTAGACACATGACATAGCTAAATTGCTATTATGGAATACAGGGTGACAATACAGGACTGTGCAGTATCTGAGCTGAAGGAGGTTCTGAACAAATATGAAAAGATATGTACTCATACTTCAGTTATTCACTAAGACCAACTATGGTAAAGACTCAACCACGTTTATCAGATGATGATCGAGGTGAAACCGAACTAGGCCTAAATGAATTCCGGGATCCATTCTGGCAAAAATGACACACAAACCTTTTCTATCGGTAAAAAAAGATAATATAAACCTACCTTTGTTTATTTGAGGAAATCCATTGTGTTTTTTTCGCATGAAGCCTAAAAGCTAACAAACAATTCATTTCGAAACGAAAGTGAGTATTGCGCAGACTCTGTTAGTTGTTGCTAACGAGAAATGTATCTTCATCAAAACGAGTTCCAACGTTAGTTACGTTTGCGTCAACGTCTAAACCTACCTTTACGTGCAGTATTGTGAAACGGACTTGACGTAAACGTAAATATAATCGTAACTCGATTTACGTCTACGTTTACGTCTACGTGTAATGTTACGACTTTTAGTGAAACTGGGTCCAGTAGTGTAAGTTTGCTATTATACATGTAGAAAATGCTGAACGTAACATAGAGTAATTGTTTTTTGAGTTCATTGGCATGATATTGCAGATGAAATAAAGATAATATTTGGATTAGAGCTACCTGCTGCACACGTAATACGTAGCGCAGACACTTTATTTGTTATTATAGATTAGCAAGGTAACTCAATGCCTTTCTAGAGATGAACGTATGCTGTGTTTAGAGACTTGCTATAATAATTCCTTCTCTTCTTTTTGTTCATTTCAAAAAGACATTTTTATCATTGACACTTCGTCCTAAAGTGATAGGTATTTGTTTTAATAAAAGAAGTACCTTGCAGCTGGAAATCATTCTCGCACTGTTAACATTAAATACTACATAGTAGTTTAAGAATATATTACCTCTTGTTACCAAATCTTGGTACCTTCTGTAATACCTCTATATATGTTTCGAAACACTTCACAAGTGGATTTTCATTCCTTTTTTGTCTTTCTTACTACTGATGAATATTAAATTGACAGAAATACCATTTAGTGCATTACAAATGTTTACGTTATTTGGCTGTGTCTGCGAGTGCAGCCACGTACACAGACCACCGTTCGGTTTTTTAATTCTTCTTCAAAATGGATTTTTGGCTTTTAACATGCTTGTGGACTTTCAAACAGCCGGTTTTTGTCACTGTTTTCATATCAATTTAGCTGTTGCGAGAATAAAAAATCTTAAACGAACAAATTGTAGTACGAGTTTATATAATGACATCCAGCGAAAATTGCTTCTATAGCAACACAGATTTCATCCCATATTTTTTTATTTTTTTTTAAATCGTACTGTTTATAAATATCGTATTGTTTACAAATATATTAGTCATAACCCTCGACATGAATCCTCAATCATCATAGGCAAGACTTCAATAAGTATATTATGAGACAGGCGACTATCTAAAAGGCCAAGATAAAAACAACAGTAACTTACTTTTAAATTGGTCTTCATTCCTTACATCACATACTGCAAATATCACATTTTGTTCACCGTAAGTTGTTGCCAAACTCTGTCCGGTTGTAGTTACCAGTTCTTCATTTATATCTGATATGCAAACCTAAAACAAAACAAAGTACATATATATATGTAACTAGATAAAAGTATTATAGATAAAAAGCTTTTCCAACACATCACTTATCAAAAAAAAAAAACTGTTGAAAATTGGTGACCTTTGACCCAACTACGAAGATTTTTTTTTTGTATTAATATGTAATGAGTCATTTTAAAATTTTGATCTATGACCATTGGATTTTGACCTACTTAAAAATGTTTTAATGACACCTTTTGACCTTCGCCTACAATAAACTTGAAAGACTATAAACACATCTGCTACCAATCAAAAGATTAGGTGGCCACAAAAACATGGCAGAAGGAGAAGAAAGGTAAACATAACAAAAACAATAGGTCCTTTCTCCATTAGTGAAAGCCCTAATAAGAAACATAACAAAACAATAGGTCTTTTCACCATTAGTGACAGCCCTAGTAAGAAACATAACAAAAACAATAGGTCCTTTCTCCATTAGTGAAACCCCTAATGAGAAACATAACAAAAACAATAAGTCCTTTCTCCATTAGTGAAAGCCCTAATAAGAAACATAACAAAAACAATAGGTCCTTTCTCCATTACTGAAAGCCCTAATAACTAACATAACATAAACAACAGGTCCTTTCTCCATTAGTGAAAGCCCCAATAAGAAGCATAACAAAAACAATAGGTCCTTTCTCCATTAGTGAAAGCCCTAATAAGAAACATAACAAAAACAATATGTCCTTTCTCCATTAGTGAAAGCCCTAAGAAGAAACATAGCAAAAACAATAGTTCCTTTCTCCATTAGTGAAAGCCCTAATGAGAAACATAACAAAAAGAATAGGTCCTTTCTCCATTAGTGAAAGCCCTAATAAGAAACATAACAAAAACAATAGGTCCTTTCTCCATTAGTGAAAGCCCTAATAAGTAACATAACAAAAACTATAGGTCCTTTCTCCATTAGTGAAAGTCCTATTAAGTAACATAACAAAAACAATAGGTCCTTTCTCCATTAGTGACAGCCCGTATAAGAAACATAGCAAAAACATTAGGTCTTTTCACCATTAGTGACAGCCCTAGTAAGAAACATAACAAAAACAATAGGTCCTTTCTCCATTAGTGAAAGCCCTAATAAGTAACATAACAAAAACAATAGGTCCTTTCTCCATTAATGAAAGCCGTAATGAGAAACATAACAAAAACAATAGGTCTTTTCACCATTAGTGACAGCCCTAATAAGAAACATAACAAAAACAATAGGTCTTTTCACCATTAGTGAAAGCCCTAATAAGTAACATAACAAAAACTATAGGTCCTTTCTCCATTAGTGAAAGTCCTATTAAGTAACATAACAAAAACAATAGGTCCTTTCTCCATTAATGAAAGCCCTAATAACTAACATTACAAAAACAATAGGTCTTTTCACCATTAGTGACAGCCCTAATAAGAAACAAAACAAAAACAATAGGTCCTTTCTCCATTAGTGAAAGCCCTAATAAGTAACATAACAAAAACAATAGGTCCTTTCTCCATAAGTGAAAGCCCTAATAACTAACATAACAAAAACAATAGGTCTTTTCACCATTAGTGACAGCCCTAATAAGAAACATAACAAAAACAATAGGTCCTTTCTCCATTAGTGAAAGCCCTAATAAGAAACATAACAAAAACAATACGTCCTTTCTCCATTTATGAAAGCCCTAATAAGAAACATAGCAAAAACAATAGGTATTTTCTCCATTAGTGAAAGCCCTAATGAGAAACATAACAAAAACAATAGTTCCTTTCTCTATTTGTGAAAGTCCTATTAAGTAACATAACAAAAACAATAGGTCCTTTCTCCATTAGTGACAGCCCTAATAAGAAACATAGCAAAAACAATAGGTCTTTTCACCATTAGTGACAGCTCTAATAAGAAACATAACAAAAACAATAGGTCCTTTCTCCATTAGTGAAAGCCCTAATAAGAAACATAGCAAAAACAATAGGTCTTTTCACCATTAGTGACAGCCCTAATAAGAAACATAACAAAAACAATAGGTCCTTTCTCCATTAGTGAAAGCCCTAATAAGTAACATAACAAAAACAATAGGTCCTTTCTCCATTAGTGAAAGCCCTAATAAGAAACAAAGCAAAAACAATAGGTCTTTTCACCATTAGTGACAGCCCTAATAAGAAACATAGCAAAAACAATAGGTCCTTTCTCTATTAGTGAAAGCCCTGATAAGAAGCATAACAAAAACAATAGGTCATTTCTCCATTAGTGAAAGCCCTAATGAGAAGCATAACAAAAACAATAGGTCCTTTCTCCATTAGTGAAAGCCCTAATAAGAAGCATAACAAAAACAAGATATCCTTTCTCCATTTATGAAAGCCCTACTAAGAAACATAGCAAAAACAATAGGTATTTTCTCCATTAGTGAAAGCCCTTATTAGAAACATAGCAAAAGCAATAGGTCTTTTCACCATTAGTGACAGCCCTAATAAGAAACATAACAAAAACAATAGGTCCTTTCTCCATTAGTGAAAGCCCTAATAAGAAACATAACAAAAACAATAGGTATTTTCTCCATTAGTGACAGCCCTAATAAGAAACATAACAAAACAATAGGTCTTTTCACCATTAGTGAAAGCCCAAATAAGAAACATAACAAAACAATAGGTATTTTCTCCATTAGTGAAAGCCCTAATAAGAAACATAGCAAAAACAATAGGTATTTTCTCCATTAGTGAAAGCCCTAATTAGAAACATAGCAAAAACAATAAGTCTTTTCACCATTAGTGAAAGCCCTAATGAGAAACATAACAAAACAATAGGTATTCTTTCCATTAGTGAAAGCCCTAATAAGAAACATAGCAAAAACAATAGGTATTTTCTCCATTAGTAAAAAGCCCTAATTAGACTTTAAAATAATGTTTTATTAAGTGACAAAATTTTTCCTGGCAATTACTTCAAAATGCATTGTATACAAAATAGATATCATAGTAGGCAGGAAATGGCATAAGAGTAATGACTGTTAGACTAATAAACTGCAGATGAGGTGTGTACACTTACAAGTTTTATACTAGTTAGGTCAATTACTGAAATACCACATAACAAGATATGAACCGTAATATTAACATCTGATTGCTTCATAATCTGGTTATTTTTGTTCGGGACACGGAACTTTAATGTACAGAGACGTATGTTTGTTTGTTTGGAATATAACGTCATTACAACCAGTGTCATGTGAGGACGGGTATAGGAAAATGCATATACATTATATACCAGTGATACCATACGTGATAAAATTAAAACTGCCCTTACCAGGTGAACCCTGATGTTGACTGTGTCTCGTTATCAGTGACATCTGCCATTACATTAAATGCACTTGTTGGTTAAATATGAATGATGTATTTATGTTAACCAGTGGCGGAGAGGAGAGGGGTACCTGGTAATTCCCCTACTCGCACTCCCGTTTTTAGAGGGGAACTTTACAAAACACACTAAAACTTAGGAAACTTTACCAAACGAAACATAGACAACAAATGTATGTAAAATTCAAGCACATCACAGTTATCATAGATATGAAATGTGTCAATATCATTCGCCCCCGAAATCACTCACACCCTTGTCATTCACCTCAGTGCCTTACTTGGTATCTATTACATGTACATGTAACCATATGCATTTAGTTTATATAACACGCTATGGCCCATTTCCAGCCTTTCCTCTTTCAGAAAGTCATGTATCCACATGTGACAACAATGTTTCTGGTTCTGGTGAACAGAAATAAGACCCTAACATTGTGTGATATACTGTAATGATTATGCAACGTTGTTTAGTGCCGAACACAAAAAGACGACAAACGTGTCAATATACGAATGTGCAAAATGTTATTTTTAAAAACTATCGTAACTCAGTGATCATTTGTATAAACCTACCTTCATTCCCTTCGCTAATAAACCGGTCGCGAAGGCTTTACCTATGCCTCTGGCTGCACCTGTAATGATGGCAACTTTGTTGGAAAAATCCATATTTAAGAGTAATGATTTTGTTTTGGTAATGTAGATGTATTTACAAGTAAACACGATACGACGATATGATTAGCATCAGAGTCGTATATATAGATAGATCCTCGATGACGTCACGCATATTCCTCGTGTTCTTCTATCTGTGTCAAGCCAGGTCACTGATTTTTGTAATGTAAACAAAGCGATAATAGCTGTAAGCCATGGTTCACACGTGTGTTGTTTGGGGTTGTACGAACCGAGCGGATCCTAGTTGTGCAAAACGAGTTTTTCGATATCCCGAAGATCGTCAAACAGCAGGGAGAACAAATTAAGAGAGCGACTCTCAACAGATAGACGGAATCTTTGTCTGGCGAGAATCAACAGAGAAGGCTTCAATCCTGATCCAAACAAGCGTCATTATAAACTGTGTTCCGATCATTTATAACTGGTAAGATGTAAAAACTTGCGTTTATAATTGAATTGCAAAATTAACGGTTACTATTAACAGCTTTCACGGTTTATAGGTGTATGGAGACTGTGTGTGTGTGTGTCACTGACTAAGTGTTGGGGAGGGTATATATATATATATATATATATCTTCAAATTCAAAATTTTATTTGCACATTTTTAACTACAAAGTAATTTGAAGGCAAAATAGAAAAACACAGTGAAATATATACATAGACATGTACATGTAGAAAAGTCGCAAAGTGATTGCTTATATTTTTAATATACATTAACAAAATTAACCTAGCTTCAAATAGAAAATTTGATTTAAACATTTTTAGCTGCAAAGTGCATTCCTTATACTGTCAGCAACCCACTCTCTCAGTTCTAGAGACTGTTTAATGAATAAGCAAGAGTCCAGTATAAATTGGGAGCTGTTTGTAGATAATATTGAGGTCAAATAATTGGTATCTAAGGTAACATCATTGTGATTAGGAATTTATTTTTGGAAGTATTCTTTTCTAGCAGATTCATTTAGGGAACAGTGAAAAAAGAAGTGTACTTCATTTTCTAACACACCACATTTTTAC